GAGTGGGTCCCTAACTCCGTGTGAGTGAGACTGGCTGTGCAGATTACTGAGTTTTATTACTATTGAATTTAACCAAGTTTCTACCTTCCCATTCAGAGATGCTATACAGATCCGCACTGATAGATGAAATGACATCAGCTCTAGAAACAGATCTAGTTTTAAATTAGGGGGAAGGGATAATGTGAAAAAGAGTGAAGAGTAGGATCGTCTGCATAAGAATGGATATAATTAGTCATAATGTGAAGTAAATCATTGATAAAAAGAAGAAAGAGAATAGGTGAAAGAACAGAAACCTGTGGGACACCACTATTGGTAGAGAAAGAGCGAGAGATCGATTCCTCGACAACAACTGCCATGGAACAGTTCTCAAGAAAGCTAGAAATTAGAGAACAAAGTGGGAAAGAGAAACCATAAGAGGGAAATTTAGAAAGCAAAGACTTGTGCCATACCCTGTCAAATGCTTTGGAGATGTCGAGGGCCACAACGAAAGTTTCCCCATAATCCCTAAGATACCTCTAAGCCACTTAAATTCAAAAGGCACCAAACTACATACAGTACTGTATTAGTGAATGGGTGAGCGAGTCATGGAGGCCCTTAAGTCTATCAATTTAAACTAAGAGAAAACAAAAATTATACTTTTGAACTGTACCTTTGCTTTATTTGTAGAAGTACGCACAAATTTCGTAACAACAGCATTAATTGGATTCATAGGATATGCAATAGGAGGAAGCATTTCCGAGGCATAGCATACATCTGCTTGAAGTGTACAACGGTCCCGTTCATCTCTTTGCCACACACGATTCTCTAACATGTTTACTACAGAACAGTTATAATCAACAGTCTTGCGCATGACACTCTTTCTAAGTCTTTTGCCATCAAATTCACCATCTGGAGCTTTAAAGGGCTTGAACGATAATGGCTGGAACTGTTGTGGGCCCCCTCCCATGGGTGGAGGCTTTCCTTGGGGTATGGGAGGTGGAGGCATGCTAAACATACCGACTTGAATCATTTTGTCTTGGTTCTCTGTTCACCTGAAATAAGAATACATGTGTCAGACCTTGAGAAGCCAGCTGTCCCAAAGAGTCCAGGATCCCCTGCTACCATGAGGCCCATGACTAACCAGGCTATACTGGAACTCCACAAAATACTAATTACCTATCAAACTTATGAGATCTTGTATAACACCCAGCTACTGTACCACGTTTCAGCAAAATCAACTTGTTTGTCCAAATTATGACATTCAAAAGATGCCAGGATAGATGTATACACAGAGGGATGGATGGAAGCTACTTCCATGGCCACAGCCTCCCTCCCTTCTTTGGCATGACAGGAGACGAAAGTGATCATGATGTATTTTTTGTTTGAGCTTCAAAAAAAGGCATAGCACTTTTACAGTGTTTTCCTTTGCAATGATATCTAATGCATTTACATACAGTTTTGCCTAGCATGGGATGCTATTTCTTATCCATCACACTACTATACAAGGTACTGTAATCTGACTTTGTCCTGTGTTGGTCATAGGGTGACCCCGACCATGGGCCCCCTTCCTTGCTTGTGTTGACATCCTACAGTAAATTTAATTGGTAAGCTAAGTGAGAGATCCAAAGTGAATGGTGAAACTATGAACAGAAACTCTGCCTAGACAACCTCATACAGGATAATCAAGATCACCAGCCTTTACCTCAACAATATTACATCATAAATTACCTATTAGGTTATTTTCCCATTTCATACAATAACAATGCATAGCTTAACCTTAGTAATCAGAATTGCACCTACATTATAATTAAAACTAAAAATATACGAGTCAGCTCATCACCGAAGGGTCAAGACGTACCTGGCGCTCCTCTCGGAGCAGCCAGGTCAACTGTTAAGTTGGCCCATACCAACCCCTTCCCCTGAACCCTCCTCCCCACCGGAATATCAACAAGTTCTCGCCAGAAGTTACAATTTCATTTAGGAAAGGAATGGAACCAGTGTTAAACAGAGGTGAACAGTGGTGAACAGTGCTTAAGTCAGTGAGAACAACTCAACAGTAACAGTCATACCCAAGTTAACCTTCACACAGTGAGGTCCCAGGTGCCCAGTGATAACGGCCCGTGATAACCAGCGATGTGTTAATCCGTCTACGATAGAAAGGCCTGGGACCAAACCTCACTCATATAACACCATCTGTGAGGGAATTACTACACCACATGTCCCTCATAACACCATATGTGAGGGAATTACTACACCACGTCAAGTCCCTCATCACACCATCTGTGAGGGAATTACTACACCACGTGAGGACCCTCATAACACCATCTGTGAAGGAACTACTACACCACATCAGGTCCCTCATAACACCATCTGTGAGGGAATTACCACACCATGTCAGGTCCCTAATAACACCATCTGTGAGGGAATTACTACACCACGTGAGGACCATCATAACACCATCTGTGAGGTAATTACACCACGTGAGGTCCCCTATAACACCATCTGTGAGGGAATTACTACACCACGTGGTCCCTCATAACACCATCTGCGAGGGAATTACTACACCGCGTCAGGTCCCTCATAACACCATCTGAGGGAACCACTACATCACGTGAGGTCCATCCTAACACCATCTGGGAGGGAGTTACTACACTACGTGTTTGTTGTTCAATACCTACAATCCTACATTAATCTGTATGTTCACTGTATGTTCCTTTACCTTTCTCTAATGAAGGCTTTTGTTAAACCACCAATGTATGTAATAAGTCATTTATGTCCAATGTATATTTTCAGCCTTCGGGCTGCAGAACTTTTTCAATAAACCGTTAATTATTATTAATTATTATTATTATTAATAGCATCAGCTAGCCGGGTGGCCCCACATGCAATGTGCTGTTCATGTGTGTGTTTACCATTCTTTCTCGCAGGCCCAAACCAGATGACAGCATCCCTGCTATTTAGTGGTCGATTTGAAACTTCCGAGATAAAAATCACAAATTAGGTATTTTTTTTTACGTTACTACAACCGTTTTCCATTGAAAAGCAACAAATCATAACCTGACCAATCATAACATAACTTATCCTAACCTTAGTCATGTGTAATCGCACAGTGAAGTCACAGAGTGGCTGGTGCGGAGAATGATCGAAAGTTTAGAGGGGCTGACAAAAAATTCTGAACTCAGAAGTTGAAAAAACATATTATTTTTTTTTAGCATTTCTACAAAAGAAAAAGACTATCTCCATTGAATTAAGCATCAAATATTTAGCAAAATGAGACTAAAATAGTCCACCAAACTAGCAAGCTAAGATCCAAATGTTAGCCAAATAATTGCAGTAGAACTGTCGAAACTACTGATTGCAAACATAAAATTCCTAAGATTCCTTTGTTGACTAAAAGTAAAATAATACCAAAGGATGTAAACAATTACCTTGGGTGGTATCACAACATTAGACTAAACAACTAAGAATTTCCAAAACCGGAAAGAGGCCCAAAGTCTTCACTTTTTTTTTTACGGGGATTAGCTCACCCGGGAAGAGGTCACTGACCCACATCGGGGCCTCGGGGGCGAAAATATAATAATAATAATAATAATAATAATAATAATAATAATAATAATAATAATAATAATAATAATAATAATAATAATAGTAATAATAATAATAATAATAATAATAAAAATAATAATAATAATAATAATAAAAATAATAATAATAATAATAATAATAATAATAATAATAATAATAATAATAATTCATAGTAAATGAAATTGAAAAAAAAAAAATTAAAATAAAATAATAAATTAATAATGATGATGATGATGATGATAATAACAACGACACTGTAATAATAATAATAATAATAATAATAATAATAATAATAATAATAATAATACTTGTAATAATAATAAAAACACATCCACACGTCAGTCATCAATATTAACCATTTATATGTGTACTTCGTGGTGTAGAATAACATGGTCTTTTTATTTTCCATTTTTAATTTCTTTTTCTCTTCTTTTATCCTCTTCACCAATGATCGGCTCGTTAGCCACTTGGGCGATCGGTCACGTCTGTTACTTTTCTTTTTCTTTTATCCTGTTCACCAATTGATCGGCTCGTTAGCCGCTTGGGCGATTGGTCACATCTCTGTTACACACTGTTGGCAAGTACTGGTCATGCACCGGCTCCTAAATGTACCTGAACCTGCTCCAGTGTTGGTCAAGTCTTGCCTTGAAAGAGCTCACACTCGGTGCCGTCACAACACTTTCTGGTAGATTGTTCCAAGAGATCACAACTCTCACTCCGAAAAAGTTGCCCTCACAGTTTTCTGGACCTGCTGATTCTTCAATCTTGAGCATTTTCAACCAACTGACAGTCCCTAGCATATCTCAGGGACCAGACGGGGTGACAGTATTCCAGATGGGGAAGCACTTCACTCTTGAAGATCGTTAAGAGGGACGAACCATCTAGACATCTGAACGACCTTCTTATAAGCCCAAATAATTTATTTGCCTGATTTATCTTCTTCTCGCAATGGCCCGAAAACTTCAGCTCATTGTCAACATACACACCTAGGTTGTAAATAACTTATTGAATACAAATTGGCAAGCAAACTGTAAGGCACGGGTCCGACTAATTACCCAAATGTACCCAAATATAGCCGCAATGAAGTCAAATAATGGTGCTACATGAATAAATCGGACTGCCAATCACTTCTCGACTGGTATTTGGTGTCATAAAGTCACAAAAAATTGGAAAACTTACTTTAATCTGAGTTAATAGATCGAGTGCATGTACCTAACCTAACACAACTCAGATTAAATTAAGTTTACCAATTTTTTGTGACTTTAAGACACCAAATAATAATCGAGAAGTGATTCACAGCCCGATTTACGCTTGTACGACCATCATTTGACTTCATTGCGACTACATTTGGCTACATTTGGGTAATTACTCGCTCCCTCGGTATATGCACGCCATCTATTAACTCAGATTAAAGTAAGTTTTCCAATTTCTTGTGACTTTCTGGCACCAAATACTAGTCGAGAAGTGATTGGCAGTCCGATTTATTCATGTAGGACCATTATTTGACTTCATTGCGACTACATTTGGGTAATTAGTCGGACCGGTAAGGCACCACTGCCAGCAAAAACCAAGTTTTATTCTTATTTTTTCGCCCCTAGGCCCCGTTGTGGGTCGATAACCTGTGCCTGGGAGGGATATACCCCTAAAAACACACACACACACACACACACCATTTGACTCACAGTGTAATAAATGCGAAGTAGCGTTCTCGCATTGTTAGCCCGTAATGGACGATTAGCCAATCAGAGCACACTCACAGTAAAATAGCGTTTGTAGGAACTTTACTAGTCACGGCCAAATATCCACTGCCAATCTATTAACTACAAGTAATTTAATCAAGTATTGTAACATATGTTCTATAAACTATCTCTCCCAACATTTAGCTTTGTGGTTTCCATTCTTAACATTATCACATCTTATATTTCAGATTTGTTAAGAGAACAACTGACTAATTATATATAAAGGCATAAACCCCTTGGAAGGATTTGGACCTTTTAAGTCAACAAGCTTACCATTAAAAATACCTCAGTGCAGATACGTGCGCAAAAAACTGATAAATGTTACTAACTTCCTCACCAGAGTTTGAATTATTCGATTGACTTGAGAAGAACAGTATTAAATTAATTCCCAGACAATACACTAGTAGAGGTCCACCCTGCAGGAAGACATCTCTCAATACCACCCAATTCTTACCCAACGACCCCCCATAGTATATAAATTATAGATCTACGATACCAGCCTGGGAGTGTAGGTTCTTACCAATACTTTTTAATTAAGGATTCCAAGTAATATTACAGAATTAATGATCCACGGGAACTGTCTTCACGTCTCCTCAACCACCGCCATCATTATCAGGGTTCACACACTCACGACAAAATTCAAACCTTTATACTCCTAGGTTTTTATTTTTATTTTTTAGTTATATCATATTTTTAGTGCCATAAAATTCTCACTAATATATAGGATATTTATGTAAATATGCCAAACTGTATGGATAGTACATTAAACAGTATATATGAAGATACAAATATATATCACAATTCATGACTCAATGTTAAGATTTGTATTATTGCTTTCAGTCTTAAGATATCCTGGATTACTTGATTATTTTAATGATTTATGAATGTCTCAAAATTGATTTAGTCAGTTACAAGTATTGTTCTGTAATTATTATAACAGTATCCTGGTCATGATTCTCACACTACTTGAAAGATCATTGACTCAAATATGTCACTTATATCATTGTGAATCACGCAAATTATACGAGTCCTTCGCATTCAAATTATTTAAAGGTATAATTTAGCTTCATTATAAATAAGAAAAATAAATTCATATATTTATCATTATTTTTTAACGATTTATTTATATCAGCGTTAATTCAAACATCAAAATTGAGACAAGTATTAATAATTTACAGCAATAATATTTTTTCTTATATATATTTATATATATAATTACACTCTTGAGCCAAAATGGTACAACAGTTAATGTGTACAATTCTCAGGAACTGTGACGTCTTATGACAACATAGCGACGCCTGGAGGCTAAAACACTTACTGTTAAAATTATACCACGAACAAAACCAAGAGGCAAATATTCTTTTAGTTACAAAATACAGTCAAATACACTTATATAGAATAGCAAAGAAATACAACTGGACCATTATATTTTAATACATTATATTATAATTATACTTAGTTTGTCAGCTTTAAAAAAAATTCAATAATTTTAGATAAAGTTCACACATTTTTCAACATTAGCTACTTTGCACCTTGGGCTAGGGGAGGAAAGTGACGTGTAGAGAAGGCACAGTATATCCCTCGCCTCTAAGACAGTATTTTGAAAACTCATTATTGACAGTTGTCCTTCTTGCGCACCATGGCTGACGACAAGTACTCCGTATTACTTCCGACATATAACGAGAAAGATAATTTACCCATTATTATATGGTTGCTGTGTAAATATTTTGAGGAAAGGTAACATTTGTTTTTTATAAAATGTATGTGGCATAGGGACAAGGCTTTTCTTTTTTCTTTGTTTTACCCTCTTCACCACTGATCGGCTCGTTAGCTGCTTGGACGATCGGCTGCGTCTCTGTTAGGCACTGTTAGCAAGTTCTGGGCATGCACTGGTTCCTGAATATACTTGAACCCGCTCCAGTGTTGGTCAAGTCTGGTCTTGAAAGAGCTCACACTTGGTGCCGTCACAACACTTTCTGGCAGATTGTTCTAAGAGTTCACAACTCTCACTCCAAAAAAGTTTCCCTCACAGTTTTCTGGACTAGCTGCTTATTCAACCTTGAGCTGTGACCCCTTGTGGGGCGAGCGTACGCCAGCTCCAGGTTAGGTCACCCGACTGAGTAGTGCCCTTGAGATGCTTATGCACCTCAATTAGATCGTCCCTTGCCCATCTGTAGTATAAGCTAGGTAAGTTCAGGCGCTCCAATCTCTCAGGGCAGCTGAGGTGCCAAAGCGCAGGCACCAGTCTGGTGGCCCTCCTTTGAACATTTTCAACCAACTGACAGTCCCTAGCATATCTCAGGGACCAGACGGGATGACAGTACTCCAGATGGGGAAGCACTTCACTCTTGAAGATTGTTACGAGGGACAGACTGTCTAGGTATCTGAACGACCTTCTTATAAGACCCAATAATTTATTTGCCTGATTTACCTTCTTCTCGCAATGGCCCGAAAACTTCAGCTCATTGTCAACATACACATCTAGGTCCTTCTCACATTCAGTCTCAAATAGTGCAGCTTCTTCATCCCGTTGGGACATATGATACGCCTCCTTACCGTTGGTATGCCCCAGGTGCATCTTCTTACACTTCATGACATTGAATCTCAGCAGCCATTTCTTCGACCATTTTTGGAGCTCACAGAGGTCCTGCTGCAGCTCTTCACAGTCCGCTTGGTTCTTGATTTCCCGAAATAACTTGGCGTCATTCGCAAACATTTGCATGGAGGAGTGTACAACGTCAAGCATGTTATTTTTTAAACAAACAAACAACAGCGGGCCCAATACACTGCCCTGTGGTACTCTGCTTGTGACAGGTACAGATGATGATTTCGTGCCATTAATCACCACACACTGCTTGCGGTCATGTAGAAAGTCTTCTATCCACGCTAGGACATTTCCCCGAATTCCCTATCCTTCCGGTTTGATTTTCAGCCTTTCATGGGGTACACTGTCGAAAGCCTCAGGTAAATATTGTCGATATTACCACCCCGTTCAAGAATATAGGTCCAAATATCCAATACCTTTAGCAATTGTGTTAAGCAGGAGCGCCCCGGCATAAAACCGTGTTGGCAATCCTTTACAAGGTTGTTTCGTAGTAGATGTTCCATTGCGGCATCTCTGATAATACTCTCAAGTACTTTACATATTATGCTGGTCAGGCTCACCGGTCTATAGTTGTTTGTGGAGTGACGATCGCCCTTCTTGCAGATAGGACTCACATAAGCCATTTTCCATTCACTGGGGACCATTTGTTCTTCCAGGCATTTACAGAACAGGATCTTCAGGGGCTCAGCAAGCTCGTTGCACAGCTCTCTTAGCACTCTAGGATGCACCATGTCAGGGCCGGGACTCTTATGGACCTTTAGCTTTGAGAGTTTATTTCTTATACCCTCTTCTGTGAACACAATGTGGGTCAGTGCTGTGTCGAACCGTCTGTCCTCAAATGCAGGAAGGTTAATCACATCCCTTCTTGTGAACACCGAGGAGAGGAAAATAAGCTGTTCAATGCCGCAGCTTTATCCCGGTCAGAATCTACGTAACTACCATCTTCAAGCCTGATACTCCTACTCGCGTTTTCAATTTCGACTTTGCATAGTAGTAAAACGCCTTTTGGTTTGACTTTGCTACGGTAGTTCATATCCCGGAAAGGTTTAAGGATAAACTTATTTTTGAATTTGTTTGATATTTAGATTTTAGTCACAGCTTGACCTCTAGACTCAAGGGCTTTTATGGGGCAGCTTTATCCTGACATTTATGAAACAGGTTATTAGGATAAATGTATTACAGGTTGACAATCCTTTATCCGAAATCCTTGGGGCCAGAAGCATTTCGGTTTTTGGAATTTTTTTTTTTTTTTTTTTTTTTTTAGCTTACCCGGGCATAGATCACCGACCCACATCAGGTCCTGGGGGGCGAAAATATAATAAAAATTATAATAATAATAATAATTCATAGGTCTAGGTCGTGTTTCTCACTTTTGATCTTTTTTCATTCTTGTATTTCTTTATTATTATTATTATTATTATTATTATTATTATTATTATTATTATTATTATTTCATTATTACAGTATTGTTGTTATTATTATTAATTTTATTATTATATTTTATTATTATTATTATTATTATTATTATTATTATTATTGTTATCATTATTATTGTTATCATTATTATTTTATTTTGGTGTAATTTTATTAAAAAATTTATTTACTATGAATGTTTATTATTATTATAATTATTATTACTATTACATTTTTGCCCCCCAGGCCCTGATGTGGGTCAGTGATCTATGCCCGGGTAGGCTAATCCCTGTTGGAAAAAAAAATAAAATAAAAATATTGGCCCCCCAAAAAACTTTCGGTTTTCAGAGCTTTTCGGTTTTCGGAATTTCGGATAAAGGGTTGTCAACCTGTACAGTATTTCTTCTTTCATGCTGTCTCCAGTATAGCCAGTTCAAACCACAGTTTATTTAACCTGCTTCAGTGACGATGGCTGAAAATTTCAACATCACCTGATCACCATTACCAACACATGAGCCATCTGTTAATGACATTCTCACAGGTACATTAACCTCTCATATCCCATACCACTTTTTTTTTTTTTTTACGCAGGTATTAGCCTACCTGGGCACAGGTCACTGACCCACATCAGGGCCTGGGAGGCAAAAATGTAGTAGTAGTAGTAGTAATAATAATAAAAATAATAATTCATAGTAAATACAATTTATAATAAAAAATACAAAATTAAAAATAGAATAAAAAACACTAATACCGTACTACTACTATTAATAATAATAATAAAGACCAATAAAGAAATACTAAAAAGAAAAGGAAAAAAAAGATCAAAAGTGAGAAACAATATAATGTATGTTGTGTTGTCAATAGTAAGAGAAAGAATTGAGACCCTGCATTTGTGTGTAAATGAGGCAAAAAGTCAGATCAGCAACCTGGGACTTGGTCACAATTTTCGTGATGTCATATGGCAGCAGGGTCTACCATTAGACAACACATTATGCTTCCAATACCTTCCCAGGCGGTATTACCTCCTTGTTTGGTAGCTGCCTACTACCTACCTGCTACCTATGGATTGGTTAAAGAGCCAAATATCATCATGTGTTAACTCTAAAGATTGTGTAGAATGTATCATTTTCCCTTCACTCATTAGTTGACTGTTGTAAAGCTTTTAAGAACAATGGTTATCCTTTGATAGAAACTGTGAATTCCACAATATAAGATGAGTTCTCAAGAAAAGTAAATAACTTTCATGCCATATTATTTATATATAGGTACTAGAAATTTTCTTAAATGGCAATAAAAGTTTTTGGGAATTTCTTTTCAGTGGCATCAACTTCGAGATAATAGTAATAGATGACGGGTCACCAGATGGCACACTCGAAGTTGGAAAAAAGTTACAAGAAATATACGGTGACAACAGAATAGTAAGTACAGTATACTGTCTCTGTACAGAGGCAACTTGTTTATGGAAGAAAAATACTGTAATCTTTCTGAACATTCAAAATTACAATATAGTTAATTTCTTGGAGTATTAAAGATATAAGTTATAAGATTATTAGGCCGTCAAACACCATCCCCATAATTGTAACCAGAAATATTTCAATTAATTTAGATAATATTATACAGTTTCTACTGCACTGTGGTTCCCCACAAATGTATGATTCTCACATACAGTACAGTATATCGCTGCTGCATTTCTTAAATTTTGAAGAGATTACACCTGTATTTTCATCATTTTTCATCAGTTTTTGATTGTTTCATAAATTTAATTTTTTTTTTTTAGTTAAATTAACTTAAATATATCACACAAGGCACACACATGAATGTACAGAGATGAATGTTACTTTTTGCCCCACCTAAATCTGGTCTCTCTGTTATAAGTACATACTGTTTTCATCATCCAATGTCTGCCTTATTGTGCAAGATTTTATCTCCCCACCAAAAATATCAAAATAGGATTGAACTACTTTGTACACTACAGTGGTACAGTACAGCAGTATTCTCATTAGTGTGTCCTAGGTTTAATCCCTGGCTTGGAACTGAGGTTACAACTTCAAGATTTACTAGGGTTGCTTGAACCTGAGTTAGTTCTAAAATGGGAGACAAAGAGACAGAGAGAAAGAGAAAGGTGAATTCATCAGAGTGCTGCATTCTAAGCTTTCTGGGAGTGTTGACAAGTTTCTTATGAGGGCGAGAGTGATAATAGCTTATGTGTCAAATACGAAAATCAAGGATGTGATGAACAAGGAATCTAATAATAAAAATATTATTTATGGGAAAAGTGCCATATATAAGATTCCATGCAGTGCTTGTTCCATTGCTAACTATGGGAAAACATGGAGAGGTGTGGGGGCAAGAATCATAACGAAAATGACAAAAGGAACCACTGTACATCAAACTTGTTAGTGCTTCACATTGACAATCATGGACACCTGCCAAAATGGCAAGAGGTGGAAACACTACATAAGGACACAAGGACAAGAAAGACGATCGAGGCATCTTACATCACTTCGGAAAAAATATCAAATCATCAGGAAGGATTTGTGAGCCTGACCAAGGCCACCGGGTCACTCTGATAGTTTGCATGATAAGGAGGGCAAAGCTGGAAAGAGTAAAGTGACCAATTAGGTGGACACATTCCCGGGCAAATGATGAGATGACCTGCGATAGGGTATGTAGGGATGCTGTTGTAATTGTTTTGTATAATTATTTCTGAGAAAGGCACATTGCTGAAATGCAAAAGAACAAAACTCCCGCTGCATTCTGTGTCCTTACCACCATAATTCACTCTTATGTCATGACTACAGTCCCAAAAAATTATTTCAGAATTTTTGTCCTAATGGACTTCTATCATAGTGGAGTTAACTTTTCCTCATGCAATAGAAAGTCATCATATACAATATTATATAAGTATTGTTTAGTTAAGTATGTTAAATGAAACTTAACCTAGGCTGCCTGTGAATAAGTTTGGTAGCAAATGTGGGAATAATTTCTTGATCTACCAAAATTCTTATCGCACAGTTTTACTGTGGGATGAACAAATACTGTATGTATATATGTATAAAATATTCTACAGTGCAGTATGTAATATTTTGCAGGTTTTGCGTCCAAGGGCAAAGAAACTTGGCCTCGGAACTGCATACATCCACGGCATAAAGCATGCCAGTGGAAACTTTGTCATCATCATGGATGCTGATTTATCTCATCATGTAAGTGTGGGGAAATTGTTTTTTGTTGGATCTAGAATTGAACCACATACAGTACAGCATACAGTCCTTTTCCATGTTTTTACACATTAGATCTATTTATTCAGAAGAATCTCTTTTCCATAGTTATACTATTATTTAGAGCAAGAAGTAGCGTGTTGGTCGAAAAATGTTGTTAAAAATTTCAGGTTGTTTTTGAAAACTTACCATACCATGAAAGATGCTCAGAGAACACTGATAATGACAATAATCAGATCTTCCTTGCTCTCAAAGTCAGAGGCCCACATTTGAGCTTGAATTTCTTTATCTGAGGCAAGAGTCTTCTAAAAAAGAAAGGGAAAATTTATTAAAGGAATTAAAGAACATTTTAGAGGGATACATGCACTTACACTTGCCAGCTGAGCTGTTTTGCAATTTGTCTCTTGTGTTTATCTCATCAAAACATTGTAAATCACTTAATATGTATATATTTTCATATACTGTACAATAAATAATAATCAGAAACATGACAACAAAATGTATCAAAATGTTGAAAAAATTTGAGTCTGCCCTCAAGTCAACTCCGTGCTTTGTTATTAAAGTTGAGTTAACTTTAATAACAAAGCATGGATTTGACTGGAGGGTAGACTCATATTTTTTTTCTGCATTATGATATATTTCGTTGTTTTGTTTCTGATTATTTGTGAGAGGATTTTCCCATTATTATTTATTTGTATGTGTTTTGTCTGTGTCTATACACACATGCATACATGTACAGTACAGGTAAAAGAAGACATTGTCATAAGGGCAAACACATAAAAGGAATACAGTATAGTCTGGATTTACGCGGTTTTGGTTAACGCGTTTGGTCATTTACGCGGTGCCTTGCCAGAATGGAAATGCTTTAATTACGTGGTAAATTTAGTCATTTACGCGGAGAGTGGCTGGAGGTCCAGACGCGCCCCGCCATTTTGTATTCAAGCGGCCCATGCTAGACCACAAGCGGGGGGGAAGCGGCGCGAGTAAGGTTGCGAAGTATCTCGCTGTTGCGTTGTCGGTGATGTCATATGACGTATTGGACTGTGATTGGGCCACGCATCCTTACCACCCACGCATTCTCTCCGCCACTAGCTGTGATTGGTCAAATGTAACATGACGTGCCCTGCCACCAGAGGGTAGAAGTCGCTGACCTAGCAGGGCCTGTCTCATTGCTCTCAGTCTGTGTATACAGTTCTCTCTTGTGCCTGCTATTCCCCTCACAACTCACAAGGCTTCTGCGGGACCCCCACCACCAGAGAAAACTATTGAATTTCCCGGACCAAGCCATGATTGTGTGAAGGAAATCAACTAGTTGGGGAGAAAATTAAGCTAATCCTTGACAACGACCCAGACAAGCATCGGTATGAAGCGTCTAATAACCATCTGACGAAAGTTATGGAGCCGTATATCCAGATCTATCTCGACAACATCAATGCTAGTCGTCAACATAGTATTGAGGACTTCCTCGCCCGCAACCCACCACAACCACAGCCAGCTCAAATCAGTGATAGTGATATTGACAGTGAGAATATGGACTTGGAGATGTTTGTCTGGGAGGCCCTTCAAACCTCTGCGAGTAGTGAAAGTGATTCACCGGAGGGCAACTAATCTGCCCTCTGCCTCGGAACCAGCCGCCATCCACGTGTGCCGACCCAGCTTTTCTACTAATGTAAGTGTTAAAAAACCTAATATTATTGATATTTCTCTTAATTATTAATTGTGTGTGCATACCATCATAAAATTAAGATGTTATTTTTACTACAAGGTACGTATTGTGTCGGAAAAAGTGGAGTTTGGGGGTCGGCCCAGTCTCTGTTACAATTAATCCCATATGTTCTGTTATTTCATTTACGCGTTTCTTGTTTTACGTGTGCCTCCACGGGTTCAGTTGACCGCGTAAATGCAGACTATACTGTATACATTTCTTTGCACAAGAGTAAAAATGTGCCCCACAGTCAGCAAATGATATTCGCGGATTTGGCGATTCGCGGCCATTTTGAGATCCAAAACTCCCACGAATTTTATGGGCATGCTGTACTGCATATATTTTATACTTTTTGTTTTTACCATACAAACATCCAGGCAGCCTTGTACTGTACTTCATTACCAACTTACCATATTAAGAGATTATTCTTAAAACTAAGAATTTTTTTTTATATGGATTTACAATAACAAGAAACCAATAACAGTACACTGTATAACTTTTTCAGCCAAAGTTTATTCCTGAGTTCATCAAGACACAAAAAGAAGGCAACCTTGATGTGGTGTCTGGAACTCGTTATAGTGGAGACGGAGGTGTATATGGATGGGACCTAAAGCGTAAAGTGATCAGTCGAGGCGCCAACTATCTTGCTCAGATCCTTCTCAGGCCTGGAGCTTCAGACCTCACTGGTTCATTTAGGTAAGTATTTATGGCAGTGATGAATTGCATTCTTTTCATTTTCAAGGTTTAGAAGCGCTATCTGTTTTTCAAGCTGAGCATTATACTTTTCCATTCATTTAAAAAAAGTTAAAAGGTTGAAATGCCTATGGCTAAAACTGGAAAATATTCTACTGTTTATTTCCTTCTAGTTAAAGATGGCTATTTTCCAAACATATTTTTTATTCACTTTCTAATAGCATTACAGTGGTCCCTCGGTTAACTAGCACAATTCATTCCAGCAGGTTGCTCGTTAACCAAAACCATTGTTTCAATGGGTTTTTGGGTAATTGGTTCCAGCTCACCAAAAATTGCCTAAATTCAACAAAAAAGGTAGAAAAGTACACTTACTTTGAGGTGTGTATGTAGAAGGCTCCTGGATGATGATGATGATGATGATGGGAATTAGAATGGGGGTGGAGGAGAAGGAAGAAGAGAAGGCATTGGGGTGGAAGAGAAGTCACCCCATGGCACCATTTCACCCATAAAATTTTAGTTCTCTTGGTGTATTTCAAGATTATTTTCTTTAAATCAACACTGCACTGCATTATATATTGTCAATATGTAAAATATATTTCAAAATGACCAATAATTTGCTTGGAAACACAGAAAAAAGCGTTTAGTTGAAGAGAGTCTCAAGCAAGATGTTACCTCCACTGAAAACAGAGAGAGACTAACGCCTGTCTGGTGTGTTAACAGGCTGGATGGTACGCCAGAAACTAGTTTCTTTACCTTCAATTATGTTCAATAATTGTTAAAATGACTTAAAAAGTTAATATTAAACTTTTAAAATTATTGAATAGTACCGTATAAACTTCTTGATATTTTCTAAAATAGTAAGGAATTTAAGCCCTAAAACCGATTACTGTATTGGCGGACTAATACTACAGCTGGTGGACCGCCAAATGCAAGCGAAAACATGTTGAAGTCGGCTCGTAAAAACTCGTTAATCGAGGGATTGCTCGTTAACCGAAGTTAAGAATCTTATGGAAGGTAAATCGTTAACCGAAATCTCGTTAACCGAGGGACCACTGTAACTGTTTTACTCTATGATATAAAGTTTTTAAGAATAATCCTTTTGGGGGGGGGGGGGGAAGATGGATTAACCATAATGTAAGGATGCACATATTTTGTTCTGGATTTTTTGGATGTTAAGTACAGTTGTCCTCTTTTGACAAATTAGCTGTTTAGTTGAGTTATCTGTGTCAACATGGTTTTTTGGGGAGGGGATATTGTGTTGTCACAAAAGCTACAATGGTCTCTTCCTCCATTAGATTTTTATATCATTCTGATATTATAGTGCTACTTCAGTCTGTTCCTTTAGTTTCATTAGAGTAATTACAGCATTTACCTCCAGAGCCTTTGTATTCCCCTTCTTGTGCTTTAGAAAATTCTTTTGATTTATGTGTATGCATACCTTAATAGATTTATGTAAATGCAAAATATAACATATGCATTTGAGCAAAGAAAAATAAACAGGGTTAGGTTCCAGGCACTGCCAAAGCCCTCCATTACTGCAGTTTCAGTCTACTACACTTTGAATTACAGCAGATTTACAGCATCAGTTGTACGCTAAAATACTCAAATAAATGATCGTTAGACATCATAGACACTGTGTTATTATGACTGTTCAAGATAAACCACTGTAAATGTTATCAGCAAGAAAAAGTAGCCCGAACAAGTAGTGGTGCATTCAGTCTACACCACCCACCACTTCATGAGTAAAATATGAGGCAAAGAAGGTAAAAACATTTGGTAATTATTGTGTCCAAATTTCAATTTCCTAGCTGAAAAAATGATTGAATTATTGCCTGGACAAACAAGAAAACAAACACACACATGCAGCAACCAATGAGTATTGTACAGTACTGGTACTGATATCTTCAGCACCTGAAGGCAGGAGGGGGGTGGTGTACATCAGTCATGGTGGTTGGTTTCAGGTTATCCACTGTGTGGGTAGTGTGTGCACATTAACAAATGTAGCAGTAGTTGCTCAGAAATTACAGTATTAAACATAATGAAAAATATTCTAAAATGGATTAGGGCGTGGTTCTAGGGCAGGAAACAGAGAGTGAGCATTAAAGACTAAATCCGATTGGATTAACTTCACTAACGGAGTACTACAAGGCTCGGTACTTGGACCATTATTATTTATTATATACATAAACGGCATAAATATCGGCGTAGACAGCTCTTAAGTAAATTTGCTGATGACACTAAAATAGGGCATGTAATTAAGTCCACAAAACTACAGGAAGATCTAAAAAAAATTTTGAATGATCTGAAAAATGGCAGATGAAATTCAACGTGGACAAATGCAAAGTACTTAGTCTAGGATATGTAAACAGAGAAACCAGATACCAGATGAACAACGATGTTGCAGAGAAATCCAACTGTGAGAAAGATTTAGGAGTTATGATAAGTAGGAATCTTAAACCAAGTAAACAATATGCTTTTGCTCGAAACAAGGTTAATAAAATACTGTACAGTAGGTTTTCAAATTTTGCGAGTTTTTAATTCGATGTTTTTTATTTGGATACAAAAAAATACAACACAATTTCAAATTTCAACGGTGGAAACTCGAATTTCGACTGGTTTGAGTGGCCCGCCAACGTTCAGACGTGCACAATCGTGTAAACAGCGTCATTTCTCTTATGTTCAAAAGATTCATTATTGTTTGTTACTGAATGTCTTTTTGATTGAATTAATGTTTATGTGTGCAAAATGAACAATACAATTCATTAATAATACGAAGAATATTAAAACACATGAGGAGACGAGACGGCATTGTTTTCATTAATGTTTACAAAACCAGTGACTGATTGGATCTACATATAAAACTGAAGAAAATAAAACCCTGGTTGTAGCTGTAGTAAAATTAATGTAAGAAAATTAATTTGGTTGTTTTAAGTAATTTTATTTAATGTTAATAAATGGAACAATAGAAGTAGCTAACCATTAATGGTAAAGAAAAAAGTGAGATCGCGAATGTAAGTGCGCACATGTGAAAACATATCGTCATTACTCTACATACCGTAAGAAAATGAAAGCAACACTTATTTACTGTTCATATATATTTTAATTAATGTTTCTGAATTTAAAACAAAAATTCTACTCACCAGTGGTGGTAAAGTTGAAAACAGAAGGACAGCCAATGTTGTTGTGTGTGTTTTTACTCGGATGACGAAGTTGCCAAGTCATCAGGTTCAACTCGAGCTGAATCTGTAGAACATAAAAACTTTTTCTGTGTTGTTTTTAGTTTTTATTTAACTTTATCTGTGTTATTTTCGTTGGTTTATTAGGATGTTGCTTTATTACAGGTAGTAATTTGCCAAAAAAGTAGGGTAAATAAGGCAAAATTTAGCCAAGCATCGATACTACCAGACTCAAATTAATTTTCTCCATAGGAAGTTGTATTTAAATTTGGACATTGAATTTCGCGTGGTTTTTATAGTACAATAATAAATACAATACAATAGAATACAGTACTTAAACTTACTTTGAGGTGTGTACGTCGTATTTCCGGCAGCTTTGTTTACATATCAAACAGCTGATTGTAGAGGCAGTTGATGATGACATGCCATATTCTTTACAGAGTGCATTGGTTCTAATGCCTTCTTCATGTTTCATAATAATTTCTGCACTGTATAGTATCAATATGTGAACTAAATTTCAGATTGACCAATAATTTTAATGTAAAAATGAAAAAATATTCAAGAGACCAACAAAATCGATGTTCACTCCACTGTAAACAAAGTTAAATTGAGAAGTGTTGTTGGGTGATTCAATCAGCTAATTGGCACACAAAAACTGTTCCCTGTACTGTCTTTATTATCAATATGTTAACTAAATTTTAGAATGACCTATAACTTTTATATAAAAAATGAAGAAATATTCAAGAGACCAACTTCTTGATATTTACTTCACTGGAAACGAATGTAAACATAAAACCAATTACTGTACTGTATGGCAGACTAGCCGATCAGCTGACCAGCTGATGCGCACAACAAAACGTGTTTATCGTAAGGATTTCGTTAATCGAACTGAAAATCCTTATGGGAGCAATTCGTTAACCGAAATTTCGTTAATAGAACCGTTCGTTAACTGAGGGACCACTGTAGTGGATGAATGGAACAAGTTACCAAACATCATCATTAACTCAAATACACTGGATAGCTTCAAACATAGATTGGATGGATATATGAGCAATAGGGGTTGGGTGTAAATGGGACTGCCCAGTGTGGGCCAATAGACCCGCTGCAGTTTCCTCCATTCTTATGTCACCACATGGGCTGAGGCCTCAGGCAGGTGAGGAGTAAGTTGAGGTGCTGAATGAAATGAAGTGTGAGATGGGATGAGGTGCTGGGTGAACTCAGGGACCTTTGCTCTGGAAAGGGTCTGGTGATGGGTGCTATCATGTGCTTGCAGCTGTTGCTGTAATGTGTGGTGACAAGCTAGGCATTGAAGGTATACGAGTATGGTGGCCGTTGGGTGCTTGTGATGAGGTAGAGCCTAAGGTAATTGATGTCTCCTGCCAGTTAGTACCAAGCTGGCCTGTGCTAGATCATGTGCAATGTAACTGTTTCTGTGCTGTGTGATGGGATAGCAATTTGTGGTTGTGGATCAGGCAATGGAGATGTGTGATGGCCTCATTAGCACATGACAGTGTGGTTGTCTTACAATGTAAATTTTTACTGGTAGCAAGAAAGCTGTATTAATGTGAAGCAGAAAAAGTTTTGGGCTCACTCAACGTTAATACCTGTACGAATAATGATTATAGCGATCGTTTGCATAAAAAAATAACAGAATCTTCACAGTTTTGTGTTAGACAATATGAAACAACAGATGAAGGATTTTGATGACCTAACTGAGACAATAGGAGTTGCAGTGTTATTTTGAAATTTGTCAGATCCATCCGTAATGACACCTTTCTGCGCTATACAGTAAACCCCCGCATTACGCGGTTTCACTTTATGCATTTCCACGTTTATGCGGTACCCTGCCAAAACCGGAATGCTCACTTTCCGCGGTGTGTGTACCCTTTTACGCGGAGAGCGTTGCGAGCAGGGTGCGCACAAGGTCGCCCAGTCATCAAAACATTACCGAGTTCTTCACCCGCCACCCACCACAGCCGGCCCAAGTCAGTGATAGTGATAATGATAGTGAGGATATGGACTTTGAGGGGTTTGACAAAGAGGCCCCGCAAGCCTCTGTGGTGGATAGTGATACAAGTGATACAGGTGAGGGCCAATAATCTGCCCTCTGCCTCGGAACCAACCCCCCATCCCCGTGTGCCCAGCCATCTTTTCTACTAATGTAAGTGTTAAAAAGCCTAATATTATTGATATTTCTCTTAATTATTGATTGTGTGTGCATACCATCAAAAAATAAGAAGTTATTTTTACTACAACGTAGGTAGTGTGTCTGAAAAAGTGGAGTTTGGGGGTTGGCCCGGTCTCTATTTCAATTAATCCCATATGTTATGTTGTTCACTTTACGCGGGCCTCTGTGGGTTGAATTGACCGCGTAAAGTGAGGTATTCACTGTACATCTATACGTATACCTTTCCATCTTTGTTTAGCTTCTCTGTTACTTTTTTTCATAATCATATGATTGGTCTCTTGTTTTTCCACAACAGATTATACCGTAAGGAGGTGCTACAGAAGTTGGTGGAGTCATGTGTCAGTAAAGGCTATGTATTCCAGATGGAAATGATAATCCGTGCCAGACAATTTGGATATACTATTGGAGAGGTGAGTTGTGATATTCCTTCTAATTGCATTTGTATTACATCAATTTATTGGTGTGTTGTCTCTTGCAACAGGGCCAATTTCCTTGTTGGTTTGGTACCATGAAACACTATTGTACTTGTTACTTTGTTGAAGGTGATTCAGTATTTATTATGTGTAGGAACGGTCCAGTCATTTAGGAAAACATTGTATACATATATATTAATCTACAGTATATTATACTGTACAGTACAGTTAAATGTCTCATTTACTAATTATATAATTTTGAATTAATACTTCTGCACCCTTTCATGTTTCAGGTTCCAATCAGCTTCGTGGACCGTGTTTATGGTGAGAGTAAGTTAGGAGGATCAGAAATTATTGGATATGTTAAGGGTCTTCTGTATCTTTTTGCTTCAACATAAAGTTTAGAGGTGGGAATCTGTTTTCATGACCTGTAATCTCTTCTATTTTTCAGTAAAAAAAAAAAAAAATCTTATAATAAAATTGAATAATGATGAGACCTTAGTGAAACTTAAATTCATCTTACCTAGATGCCTTTCTGTTCAGCAAGCTGTGAATAAAAGAAAGATACATATTTACCAGTCATATTAAAAAGGAAAACTGTTGTAGATTTTACTTTAGTAAAATGTTCTTGCTCCTTGAACTCATCTTGTAATACAGCGGTATATGAATTTTTGGTTTTGTTGTAATCCACACTTCTTTTTTGTTTTCCCTAATGAGAACTTAGGCTGGTGAGACTAGTTACATTACATGTCATGATTCTACCTTTGATTTTTTTTTCATTTCACATGTATTTGGCTTATGAATTTAAAATGTTTATTAGTAGTTTTAGGATGTACAGTGCTCGTATGAAAATATTGTTCAGAACTTATGTTTCGCATGTCAACTTTTCTTGCTTTGGTCCTACTGGAAATTTCCTTACCAGAAAGTAATATCCTCATTCATAACCCAGTGTTTGTCAAAATAATTAAATTTTGGCAAGTGTTTATTTGTTTTCTGATTTTACTGGAAGTCTGGTACCAAACACTGATATCAGAAGCCAATGTTATGAGTGGTCAGGTCTCCTAGGATGGTTATATGGCTCTATTTGTCCACCAGAGATTCACTGGGTAGAGTATGTTCACCTTGAGTAATATTTTGTGGCAAAGATTTCTCGTACAGTAATTTTGTTTATAGATATAACTGATAATTATAATTGCAATATAATATATATTCCTGATGTAACAATTTCATACTCTGTAATAAATGTGGCATTTTTTTAGACATATAATATTTTATATTTTTGTATTGGGATGTTTTAATTGGAAAGAGGATTCACTGCATATCAATCAATAGTTAATTCTTTGTGTGTGTGTATATATGTTTGAGTTCCATTCATAAGTCAAAAATGTACTTCATTCGAAACACATACCCTATGTGCATACGGTACTTACAGAACAATGTTTCAAATCCCATTATATCATGCTTAAGTCCTCATGTACATCTAAAATCACCTAATTTAAGAGAAACAAAGAAATATAATGACAAAATAAAGTAAATGAAAGTGAAAAATACATCAGGTAAAGGTAGTAGGCAGCTTTCAAACAGGGAAGTACTACTGCTTGGGAAGATATTGGAAATATAATGTGTTGTCTAATGTGCCAGGGTGGGTGGGCTAATCCCCATAAAAAAATATAATTAAATTAAAATTTTTACTTTATGGGACCTCATTCTTATTGGCTGATGTTCGTAAAATGGACATACATAACCCGGGAGCCTCCTTTCTGTGTGTGCGTGCATTTGTATCAGTCCATATAGCACGCGGACTTCCATATACAAACAATACCTCACTAGTTGGGAATCGAACCCTGGACCTCTGCGTGTGAGCAGGGATCGCTACCACCGCAACACAAGAACAACAAAAGTAATCCTAGTTTTTTCTTATTTCATACAAAGCCTGATCATTCGTCTTCGTGAAGCAACATGAACCTCCATCAGGGATTGCCCGTGGTAGCGATCCCTGTTCACACGCAGAGGTCCAGGGTTCAATTCCTAACTAGTGAGGTATTGTTTGTATGTATACAGTAAACCCTTGCCATTTGTGAGGGATAGGTTCCAAGAAATGGCACGAATTGGCAAAACTGCGAATAGCAACTTATATTACCTTAGTGCACTACTGTATACTTATACCAAACAACTAATCAGCCACGGCAGCACTCATCCTCTCTTTTAACTTATCTAATAATAAAACTTTCTTTGTCAGGGTCATCACTGACTTCTGCCTTTTACATTTCACTCCACTAGCATCAGTAGCACTGGCACTAGGCAGTCTTTTAGGGTCCATTTCACACAGAAATACTAAAGTTTTGAGAGTACAACACAAGATGCTGCGTGGGGTGACTCGTTGTGCTGCTGGAAAAGGCTTGCAAGCTAGCCACCATCTGCTTACCGCGAATCGTCAAAATCGCGAAATCCTTACGAAAATCACGTTTTGTTTTGAACATCAGCTGAAGGGGTACTCAGCCAATTCAGTAATCTCTTCTATGTATACATTCATGTCCAATGGAGTAAATATCAAGAAAATTGTGCACTTTAATATTTGTGCATTTTTTTATACAATACAGTAGTACCCCGATTTATGCGGTCAATTGAACCCACAGGGTACCGCCGATGAAAACCGCGTAAAGTGAACAACAGAACATATGGGATTAATTCCAATAGAGACTGGCCCGACCCCCAAACTCCACTTTTTCCGACACAATACCTATGTTGTAGTAAAAATAACATCTAAATTTTATGATGGTATGCTCACACAATTAATATTTAAGAGAAATACAGTCGCCAGGTTAATGTCCATTCAAATAATGGACTCAAATTCCCCCCCCCTCTTCCCAGCTCACTGGCCCCTACCTCTCTGAGAAATGATTGTATCTTATATAATATCTCACACTAAAGTTGGGAGAATATAATTTGCATTGCTGGAATCCTTGCAAGACAGTGAATAATTTGAATATAAACGTCATGTATTTTGCACAAGAGATAAACAATTTTGCTCTCTGTAATAAAATTCTTAAATATGATCTAAAATTTGTATGTCTAATGCAAATTATAGCTTGTTTATATTCAAATTAATCACTATCTTATAAGAATTCCAGCAATGTTAATTATATTCTCCTAGGTCACTGGCATTTTAAAATTAGAAAACCTTAATAGGACTGTTAAATAAACACAGGGAACGATTTTCCGGGAAAATTTCAATTCCGGCTATTGGAGAGTTCCGGGTTTATTTTATACACCAATACTAAATAAGAGAAGATTTAAATAAGGTATTGACCTTACTTCCACTATGTTTCTTGATACTACCTGTATTTGTACAGTATTTACTAACTTAGTACACTGTAATAATGCCTTTTATTAATACAGCAGTTAACCAGTATTATATGTACAGTAAAGTCTTATGTTTATTCCAATGTTGTTACAGTATTTGTATATCAAGATATATTAATAGCCACTGTAAATTTATTATATTATATATGCATTTTGTAGGTGGTGATATTTATAATAAAATATGTGAATGAACTCCAGATGTTAATTGCATGATTTTTCAGTGTTTTAAAAAGCCTTTGTTAACTCAACCACTTAAATATTTATACTGTATATAATTTGGCAACTAATTGTAGTTTCTGTACATGATTTCGTGGACTTAGTCATGCTTGGCCCTCACCCCTGCACTTCTCCTGCTACCTATGCACGTGCTCAGTATCAGCTGAGCCAAATAATGTATTGAGAGTAGATGACATCATAGGAAGTGAGAAAATCTGTGGCTGATGGAGACATAGGGCATCTTCTCGGGATTGTACAGTAGGTAGTAGTTTTTCATGAGTGAATTGTTCCTACCCAACGAATCAGAGTGATTCATTCATTAAATAGTACTACCTACTGCCTCGAGGAAATAGCAGATATCCCCATCAGTCATAAATTTTCTCACTTCATATAATGCTAACTTTTCATTGCAGCCACTTTATGAAAAGTTCTGTCAACAGTGTGATAATTTGTAAAAATGTAAAAAGTGTTAAAAAAAATTATCGTTCCAGTGTACTGTAATAGTTTTTAACAATGGACAAATGGTAGAAAATTTGTTAACCTTAAAATCTAATTACAAACATTCTCCACTGAAATTCTCGCTCCATTTACTGGCCCAAGATGCTTGGCTGACTGGTTAAAGATGCACAGCTGACTGGCCCAACATGCTCAGCTCACCAGCTCAGCTCACCAGCCCAACATTCTCAGTTTCATTACTTCACCATGGCTAAAGTAAGGTACAGTAATTGAAGCACTCATTTTTCTTCCATACTTCTACATACAGTAAGTCATTGTTTAATGTTGCCCCTGATAACGTTGTTTCGGTATAATGTCGCTACTCTATAGATACCAATAATCGGTTGACGTCCCGACGACTCAATATAACATCGTTTTTAGCGTCACGGACTACTTTTTGCAGCGCATCGCCCTCTCTTGTCTTGCTGTGCTATGCTCTCTCGTCTTGGTGTGCTAACTCTCTCTCAGCGAACGTCTCGCGCCTGCGCCGTCAGTCTTTGTTAGGCTTCCACAGCGTTCTTGCATGTTTAAGTGTTTTTGCTCTTAATACTGTACTCTAACCATTCAAAGTGGCTTCCAAGTGCCCATCAAGTGTATTGATGCTAGTATTGTGAAGAAGCAACATAAGACCAATAGCCCTGCCACAAAAATGGACGTTTTAAACCGGGAGGAGGCGCCACTCGTCGGGTCTCAGTAACTCGCCACCCTCCTCCTCTTCTCCCGCCCTGCTCCTCCTGGGTTCACTGTAACTGTTATCTGCCTGTTCTGTAGCAAGCTGACAAGATTATTTAGCTAAATTGGACAAATATAAAGTGAATAATGGAAAGCAATGACTGCTTCCTCCCCCTTTAGAAAGAACACACACTAGACTGCATGCTGTCAAGTGATTTAAGAGGGTAGACTTGCTGTTGATGGGTAGTGTAGTGTAGCACAAGCTACAATACCTCACTTTATTGATGTACTGTTTTATAATGCAACAAATAAGCCAATCAACACTTGGGTGGTGGTTGATTATTTCTTGTTTCTAGTGTTGAAAGACTGGCGACCACCTGAATGTTTCAGGGAAACTGTTCTAAACCTATCTATAAAACATTTTTTTTTTTGTATTATATACAATTTTATTAATATTCTGCCAACATCCAAATTTTCATTTAAATAAAGACTGCTTGAAATGCTCTAAGAATTTTTGGAAATAATAAAAAAAAATCTTTTCTTTATATCAATACAATTAACCATTTCTTTAGAATATTATGAATCAACTTCAACAGAGCAGTAGCTTCATGATTCAGCATTATTGTGACAATATAAAAGTCTGAGATCTAATAATGCAGTATGACCTGCAAAACATGTTACACAAAAATTACATATTCTTTCTGGGCTTAATGAGTAGTCCATCTTGGGGCTGCACCTTAGTGAACCTTAAAATTTTGAAATCCCATTTCACAATTAATCTTAGAAGGCATGCAAATTCCTTAAAGCACTTGGCTCTTTGAGTACAATGAAAATACATAACTGAAAGAATTCAGTCTGCAGGGTTAGAATACCACTGTGTTATTGTAATTAATATTATGATTCTCACTTTTTACTTACAATCCACTGTGTTGAGAATGTTGTCACAACACCAAGTGTAAGCTCATTTAAGCCCAGATTTGCCTAACACTGTCACATGATCACATGCATTCAAGTCCCTGTACAGTCAGACCATAAATTACTTTTACTGCTTCGGTAAAAATTACATACAAATTCTCATATCTGGCTTCACATTGGTAGCCCTGCTGTTCTTATATGGGAATATGTGGAGCTACCAGTGACACTATTCCTGCCACTCTTCATAATGTAATTTCCTTTTCTGTGTAATCCTAAAATGGTTAAGTTTATTATTAATCAAATAATATAAATCAAATGTAAATAAATACTGTACAGTAATAGCATATCCTGAAAACATTGTGTAAGTGTTCAATTATTAACTTCATGAACTCATATTTCAGTATGTTTATTATTATATCGACCTTTTAAAAAAAATTCTAAATTTTTTTTGCTAATTTAAAATGGAATTTGCCCTATTTGGAGTTGAACTCGTTATATACTGTACAGTATGTTTCAAAATACGATTCAAATACAGTATTTAGAAAAACAAGGATACAGGAAATGACGTTTCAATCATGCTTACAAACCTTATCGAGACAACAGGAGAGGTAGTGTTCAGTTTAAAATCCATCATACCCAGGGGTCATGGTAATTTATGGTCTGGGAGTACTTGCCAACAGTGTATAACAGAGAACAGACTGACTGCCCAAAAAGCTAGTAAGATTACAAGTGGTGAAATTGTTAAATGCAGGGGTGCAGTGCTGCCGGAGCTCACTGGAGCGCCGCTGCGGCACCTCTGTTTTGATCAATCAATCAATCAAGCAATCAATATCGCTGACGCCTTGTTCCCTCCCAGGAACTCCCGAACAGGGGGTGGCCATGGCAGAAATGTCTCCAGGCCATTTTATCCTTGCACACCTCACTTGCTCTCTCAAACACTCTTCCTTCCCTTCCCGCTCTCTCTTCAACAAACTCTTTTCTCCCAGGTGGCAATTTGTCTACCCCTCCCAACATTCCCCTCTCTCTTGCTATCATAAACATTTTTTGTCAGCCTATCTTCATGCAACCTCTGCACATGTCCATACCACCTTAGTGCATTCCTCTTCATCCACTCCACCACACCACACTTCACACATGATGTTATAGTAAGCTCTCTATGTTACTATAAATCTATATCAATCAAGCAATCAACTTTATTTTGTATTAATAATATACAGTGGTCCCTCGGTTAATGAATACAATTCGTTCCACAGAGTCGTTCGTTAACCGAAAATTTTGTTAACCGAATCCATTATTTCAATGGGATATTGGATAATTGGTTCCAGCTCACAGAAATGTACATACAAAGTAAAGCCAAAAAGCATAAAGTCAGAAACGCCCTAAAATTCCCTAAATCGCTATATATATATATATATATATATATATATATATATATATATATATATATATATATATATATATATATATATATATATATATATATATATATATATATATATATATATATATATATATATATGTATGTATGTATGTATGTATGTATGTATGTATGTATGTATGTATGTATGTATGTATGTATGTATGTATGTATGTATGTATGTATGTATGTATGTATGTATGTATGTATGTATGTATGTATGTATGTATGTATATGTATGTATGTATGTATGTATGTATGTATGTATGTATGTATGTATGTATGTATGTATGTATGTATGTATGTATGTATGTATGTATGTATGTATGTATGTATGTATGTATGTATGTATGTATGTATGTATGTATGTATGTATGTATGTATGTATGTATGTATGTATGTATGTATGTATGTATGTATGTATGTATGTATGTATGTATGTATGTATGTATGTATGTATGTATGTATGTATGTATGTATGTATGTATGTATGTATGTATGTATGTATGTATGTATGTATGTATGTATGTATGTATGTATGTATGTATGTATGTATATATATATATATATATATATATATATATATATATATATATATATATATATATATATATATATATATATATATATATATATATATATATATATATATATATATATATATACACACAGTTAACCCTCACTTTACGCGGTTAATGTAACCCGGAGGGTACCGTGGAAAGTGAGAAACGCGTAAAGTGAATAACATAACATATGGGATTAATTGAAATGGAGTCCGGGCCGATCCCCAAACTCCACTTTTTGACGACACACAACTATGTTGTAGTAAAAATATTATCTTAACTTTATGATGGTATGCACACACAATTAATAATTAAGAGAAATATCAATAATATTAGGTTTTTTAACACTTACATTAGTAGAAAAAATGGCTGGGCACACGGGGATGGGCGGTTGGTTCCGAGGCAGAGGGCAGATTATTGGCCCTCACCTGTGTCACTTGTATCAATTGTATCACTATCCATCACAGAGGCTTGCAGGGCCTCTTTGTCAAACTCCCCAAAGTCCATATAAGTCCATATCCTCACCATAATTATCACTATCACTGACTTGGGCCGGCTGTGGTGGGTGGCGGTTGAAGAACTGGTAATGTTCTGATGACTGGGCGACCTTGTGCGCACCATGTTCGCGCTGCTTACACAACATGGCGGATGGCGAGAGGTTTCGATCCAAAAAAGGCGCGGCTCACCAGCCGCTCTCCGCGTAAAGGGGTTACACGCACCGCGGAATGTGAGCATCCTGGGTTCCGGCAGGGCACCGCGTAAACGTGGAATGTGGGACCGCGTAAAGTGAGGGTTAACTGTATATATATATATATATATATATATATATATATATATATATATATATATATATATATATATATATATATATATATATATATATATATATACACACACACACTCTTACTCTTAAATCACTACTGTAATGTGATACAGGTGATTAAATTTTATCTCTTGTGCAAAATATATGACGTTTATATTAAAATTATTCGCTGTCTTGCAAGAATTCCAGCAATGCAAATATATTCTAACTTCAGTCTGAGATATTATATAAGATAAAAACTGTAAGCCTAAAACCCTGGCTGGGCAGATGAGGGGAGAGGGAGGGAGGGAGCGAGCGTGGGGGAGGGGGGGTGGGAGTGGTAGGTGAGGTGATATGTTTGACAGTTGGCGCCCAAGGTCTAATGTGCTTTTATTTATCAGTCCTTAGGTGACTAAGCTTCTCTCTTATAAAATGCCAGTGAAATGACCTGGGAGAATATAATTTACATTGCTGGGATTCTTGTAAGATAGTGATTAATTTGAATATAAACAAGCTATAATTTGCACTAGACATAAAAATTTTAGTACCATAATCATTTAGTACATGTACAGTACAGATTTGCACTTAGGTCATTTATTTCTTTTACGTTTCTTTAGTATGGTGTGTGCATGTAAATGGATGAAAATAAATGAAGAAATTTATGTAAATCTACCCAAAAATACAGTTGAAAAACTTTACATTATTAAAAGGTACTACAGTACACTAATGTACTAAAATTTTTATCTCGTGCAAAATATATGACGTTTATATTCAAATTATTCACTGTCTTGCAAGGATTCCAGCAATGCAAATTATATTCTCCTAACTTTAGTCTGTGATTTTATATAAGATAAAAACTTAAAGCCTACTGTATAACCACCAAACCCTGGCTGGGAGGGGGGAGGGAGGAGTGACATGTTTGACAGTTAGCACGGAAGATCTAGTGAAGTATTTATTTGTCTATTTATGTCCTTTAGATTGAGTTTTTGTTTTTTGCTTATAAAATGTCATAGAAGTGACCAGGGAGAATATAATTTACATTGCTGGAATTCTTATAAGATAGTGATTAATTTGAATATAATCATGCTATAGTTTGCCCTAGACAAAAATTTTATTAATCATTTTGTACATTATTTTGATACAAGTACAGTACAGCTTTGCCCTTAGGACAGTGTGTGCATGTAAATGAGTTTCAATGAATGAATAAAGTTACATACCTATATCGAGCCAAAAATAATAGTTGAAAAACTTTATGTAGACAGAGCTTGGATGGCTAAATTTTAGAATGACCAATAATTTTAATATAAAAAATGCACAAATATTAAAGAGCACAATTTTCTTGATATTTGCTCCACTGGAAACGAATGTAAACATAGAACAGATTACTGAATTGGTAGACTAGCCCATCAGCTGATCAGCTGATGCTCACAACAAAACGTGTTTGTCGTAAGGATTTTGTTAATCAAAGTTTTGTTCGTTAACCGAAATGAAGATCCTTATGGGAGGTAATTTGTTAACCGAAATTTCGTTAATCGAACCGTTCGTTAACCGAGGGACCACTGTATATTACAGTATATATATAATGCATGAATTAAATAACCAAATAAGAAAGAAATCTTATGTTACAACAATGCCTTAATATTAATTTTGTATCTAATGATACTTTTGTTGACTTCATTGTGTTATACAGTATAATGTAAAATGTTGGAAGAGTTTTTAAATTGAACACTTTAAGCTGAAAAGGTGTAAATATACTAAGTTCTGAAAAGGATTGAAATATATGATTTACATAATACTGCACCAGGTATCATAGACAAGTTAATGTTGGTTGTTGTCAATAGTTAATCTTATTATGATGAGTCATCCCCAAATCCCTCAGGGAAGGGAGGAGGGTCTGGATATGCCTCAACAGGAGAAGCACTGTCCTTGAAGTCACTAATGGTGCCAAGTGATAGGCGTTTCACACTGGAGACAAGATCTGGAATCCTTGGGGCTTGGTAACTAGGCTCCTCTTCAATATCCAAACCTTTGGGCAAATCATGCACCATCATGTGAATAAATTATCATGACATAGATCTTTTATGGAAATAAGCTTCTAATGGCCTTCTGCTAGCTTTGGTTTAATCAACTTATTGTTTATCACTTTATATACCTGCCCTGTCTATGTACAGTACAGGATATGTAAACCAATATGAATTTTTATGACAATTTTACTGAAAATCTCTCTCTCTCTCTCTGTACTATTATTAATAAGATATAAACAAAAGGAGAAAAGCTATCACACTGCACTCTTGCTATAATCACAAATTTGTTACAGAATAAGTGAATTATGCTGGCAGGGTCATTTACCTGTGCAGTTTCTGTAGTGCTGCAGGACACACTGGTAAAGGAAAGCATACTGCATCTGTAACACAAGATTTACATTAATATACTCTGAAGCTTAAATATCTTCCTCTGATGGCCTATTTGCTCACATTTGAATAATAAATAACCTAATGACTTTGTTGGCTATCCTTGGATTCACCTTAATTTTTACCATTGTTTGTGTACGTGCACTGTCGAGTTATGGTACATTGTTTGTATACTTGTACATGTACTGCCTAGGTACATTGTAAATCTTCACTGTTTAGGTAGTTACCCAAAAATGTATCTATCCCTGCCATGCATAGCACTGAAACGTCAGGCAAAAATTTTAAATTACATTTTTAAGGGTTATCATCATGTATAAGTAGGCCTGCTCCTCCTGAATGGCAGTGTTACTATACGTTGACAATCCCTTATCCGAAATCCTTGGGGCCAGATGTATTTCGGATGTCGGAATTTTTCGGATTTCAGAATGGTTAGCTTAGTTTTTTTTTTAATTTTTATTTATTTAATTTTTTTTACAGAGGTCAGCCCACCCGGGCACAGGTCAATGACCCACATTGGGACCTGGGAGGCAAAAATGTAATAATTATAATAGTAATAATAATTCATAGATCTAGATCATGTTTCTCACTTTTGATCTTTTTTTCATTCTTGTATTTCTTTATTATTATTATTAGTATTATTATTTTATTATTATTATTATTGTTATTATTATTATTATTAATTTTACTATTAATATATTATTTTATTATTATTATTGTCATTATTATTTTATTTCTTTGTATTTTTTATTCTAAATTTTATTTACTATGAATAATAATAATATTATTATTATTATTATTATTATAATAATTATTATTATTACATTTTCTCACCCCAGGCCCCGATGTGGGTCAGTGACCAGTGCCCGGGTAGGCTGATCCTGGTTTAAAAAAAAAAAAAGACAAAGAAAAGAAAAAACATTTGCTCCACGAAAAGACTCAGTTTTCAGAGGTTTTCGGGTAAGGGGTTGTCAACCTGTAATTGCATTGCATGATAATTCCATACCTATTTTGCCCTTGTGTACTATGTGTGTAATGTACACTTTTGCTGTGTGTAGAACATAAGTATAGGTAGTAGGCAGCTATCAAACAGGGGGGTACTACCACCTAGGAAGATATTGGAAGCATAATGTGTTGACTAATGGTAGACCCCACTGCCATATGGCATCACGAAAATTGTGACCAAGTCCCAGGTTGATGATCTGACTTTCTGCCTCATTTACACACAATTACAGGGTCTCAATTGTTTCTCTTACCATTGACAATAATATACATAGTATATTGTTTCTCACTCATCTTTTTTTAATTTTTGTATTTCTTTATGGTTCTTTATTATTATTATTATTATTATTATTACTACTATTAATATTATTATTATTGCAGTGTTGTTATAAATGGTTAATATTGATGACTGACCTGTGGATGTTTTTTTTTTCATTTTTGTATTTCTTTATTATTATTATTATTATCATCATTATCAATATTAATTTATTATTTATTTTCATTTTTTTTTCAGTTTTATTTACTATGAATTATTATTATTATTTTTAGTTTTATTATTATTATATTACTGTATTATTATTATTATTATTATTATTATTATTATTATTATTATTATTATTATTATTATTATTATTATTATTATTATTATTATTACATTTTCGCCCCCCAAGCCCTGATGTGGGTCAGTGACCTGTGCCCAAGTGGGCTAATCCCCGTAAAAAAATATAAAATAAATAAAATAAATAAATAAAAATATACCATCATTGTCAGTTACACTCTCACCAAAAATCTCTCGAACGCTATAAGCACAATGCAAGACTCTGAAACTATTCCGAGATGACAATCACCATTTTGCTCATACTCACATCCATTGTGCCCAGGTGTTCAAGAAGTTTTGTTGAGAGTGTACCTTTCTTGTATTCGTACCTGCACTGTCTAGGTACAGTGTTTATCTGCACAATCTATGTACTGTATATCAAATACCTGCATTGTCTACTTACGTGATGAATTAATGTAAATTTGTGTGACTATTTTACTGAATTATTATCTATTTGTTTGTTTATCTACAGTATATACGTATCAGTATCATTTCTATCTATCTATTTATACTGTATATTATGTCTATCTGTGGTACAGTACTGTATCTATCTATAGTCAGTTCTAAGAGAAAAATTATTATAGTCCCACAAGCACTGCAAAACACAGTCTCTCTTTGACATTGTAATAGATACTACTGGGATGGTACAGTAGAAATAAAATCAACATGAAGGTGAGAGGAGTACCGGAGTCTGAACCATGTTAGGGCGCATATTGCGCATCTTGAAGATACAGTTGAAAATATCCACAGTGGAACCCTGCTCCATCTCTTTCATGAGGTTGTAGACAGCGATGAAGGTTCCTGTGCGGCCCACACCAGCACTGTCAAATGGCCAACATGTTCATCACATTTATAAAGTTTATATATTTTTACTTTTTTTCCAACAGTGTCTAATACCTTTGCTTTTTTTACTTCAGAACATTACTTAGAAAGGCAGAAAATTATATGAGGAATTTAACAATGTCCACTGAGGTTATACAGAATGTTTGTTTATATACTGTACAGGGTATTTCTAAATGCAGCATTTATAAAAAAAAAATCCATTCATATTAATATTTTGTAGATAGACTTTTCTAATGATCAGTTCTAAGATATTTTACTAAATGACACAAGTCATATAACATGACTATCTCTTATACTCATTATCATGTACTGAGAGATACACATGACAATTATACTTATTCTACGATTATTCTTTTCTATTCATAGACATGCACGATTAGTAATTTTTTATTATATTTTATCAACATCACCTTTTCTGCTACAGGGAATGGCTAAACACATGACAGTAACCCTCAAGTGAAAAATGACAATAACTCCTACACCTTAGTTGCTATAAATCTTTTGGGTCATCTCCATACACTGACCCATTAGTCTTGTTTATGATTTGCCACACACCGTTGTAAAGGTCAATACTCGACCACATGTTAATATTTGGCATCAGCTAGTTGCCACTCCTCTACTGGTCAGTCTCTGGCTAAAGAAATTACTAGCACAGTAAACTCCCAGAATTAACTTATTTGAAGTAAGAGTATTGAATTTAGGGAATAACCTACCAGGAAAGCAAGCACAAACTCTTTTATTGTCCAGACTAGACCAGCAAAGTTCAGGTACAGTAAAGAGCTTGTATGTGTCGAGTACACAGAGCATCAGAGATATGAACGACCATGTAAACAGTTTGAGAGTGTAAGTAATGTGGAAGATAGGCAATACATCTCTCTCATGCAGTTCCTATTGTCACCTCTAGCTTGTGTACTGTACTAAAACAACTGGTGTTGTTACAGTATCCAGTCTTCGTTCACATGATACATTTGTATTTATTTATGGTCATCATGGCTCACCAACTACCTCCAACTCCCTTCCTTCCATCACTCTTCTTTCTTGTCCCACAAATATGAATCTGATTCTTCAATCTCATTTTATTTTCATATCTTTTGATCTTACAAATAATTTTTATTGCCATTATCTTTGTAAATGTACACATGGTAGCATTTTACAGCTGATTCAAAGTACAGTTGTATAAGTACAGTATAATCAAATTGGAATATCTGAAGATTAGCCCTCTCAATTTATTTCACCTGATGATTAGAACATCCTAATGTTACCTTGGGGTTAGGTTAAGGTAGATTAAGCTTGCACTAATCTTAAGGTCAAGTGGTGAAAAACATTGGGGCTAATCATCATGTAATCTATTAAAGTGTTAGCCACTTGTACTAATAACTGAAAGTGTTAGCTTTAAGAGGGACTGTCAGAATCTCTTCATTGGAAATATTTAACAGTTTGCACATTTTATTTCTACCAAGAGGTGACTACAATATTGCATTGCCACCTCAGCTATCTTACCTGCAGTGGACCAATATGGTTGAGGATTTAGAAGATGATGCACTCTTGATAACCTTGACAAAATTCAGCAGCTGATCTGGAGTGCTGGGGCACCCCATGTCCGGCCAGGCGATGTATTGGAAGTGTTTTATATCCCTTAACCGATTTCCGGTCTAGAGAGACAACACATACACTTTAGCTTCTGTTCACGTCATTTTACATCATCTTACCTTCCCTTAGGTATCTTTATCGTAAAGCAAGAGTGAATGTGGTTATTCTTGTAGTGAATAAAGTGGCTAAAGTCTGATCAGTCCCAGGAAGTACACTCAAAGAAAAAAGCCATGTTACACTTACCATGCCTTATGTTCTGAAACCAATGACAATGAATTTGGGAAAAGTTCCCTTTTCAGATTCAAACCTCGAAGCTTCGTTGTCACTTGACTTAAATTCTTTGTCATGGGTTTCAGATCATAATGCCAGAGGGGGTGTAACACAATTATTTTCGTTGAGTTTATACTGTACTACTATGCTATCATCACCTGAACTCCCATAGGCTCAAAAATGTTTTCTCAATATGGTAAGTCCTCGTTTAATGCCGTCCTGCTTAACGTTGTTTCGGTACTACGTCGCTGAACTTTAGAGACCAAAAATTCTTTTAACTTCCCGGTGATCCGATACTACTTCGTTTTGTTTCATCACGGACTACTTTCTAAGACGCATCACCCACTATTGTCTGGCCGCGCTACGCTGTCTCGGCTGGGTGCGCTGCCCTCACTCGCGGAATGTCACAGCATCCCCAAGCGACGCCAAACCAGTTTCTGTTACGACTTCATGATTCGTGTGTACTTAAGTGCTTTTGCTCTAAAACTGTACTCTAACCATTTGAAATGGCTTCCAAGCACCCATCAAGTGCTACTGATGCTAGTGTAGTGAAGAGACAACGTAAGACCATTACTCTTGCTACGAAAGTGGATGTATTAACCCGATTTGGAAAAGGGGAACGTACTGTGGACATAGCCGCTGTGCTTGGTCTAACCCCCACAACGGTGCGTACCATCCGGACCAACGTTGACAAGATTAAGGTTAGTACTGGAAGTGGTTCTTCTCTGAGTGCTACTAAGACAACTCGTACTAGAAGCACTGTGATAGAGAAGGTAGAAAAGATGCTGGCTATGTGGATGGAGGACCAGAATCAATGCAATGCCCCTGTGAGCCTTATGGTTATCCAGCTTGAGGCCAGATCCTTAATTGACGACTTAAAGGAAGAAGAGGATGAAGGATTGAAAGAAGAGACCTTTACGGCCAGTCGAGGCTGGTTTCAATGATTTAAGCGTCGGTATAACTTCCACAACATAAAGATGACTGGTGAAGCTGCCAGTTCAGATACGGTTGCTGCCGAGACATTCCCGCCAACAATGGAGGAAGAGCAAGCAGCGGCGGAGGAACCCCAGTCAAAGCAGCAGGAGGAGGAGGAGGCAGCCGCAGAGTCTCAGTGACTCGCCACCCTCCTCCTCTCCTGCCCTTCTCTGCCTCCACCCTCCTCCACTCTCGTCATCCTCCTCCTTCGCTCCACTACCCACCACACACTCGCTCTACCACCTCCGCCCATCGGTGAGTACCAATACAAACTTAGTACTGTAGTTCTATACAGTCTTTCCTCGACTTACGATGGGGTTCCATCCCGACGGCCAGGTCGTAAGTCGAATATGCGAAAATAGTACATAGAAATTCTAAAATGGGTGTCGCTTTTTCTTCTCAGCACCACGAGAACTCTCATGTTTACGCTTGCCAGCCATTTTAAAGGGAATTACAAAAAAAAAATTTGTCAGTACACAGTGCGATCACTAACGTCGGGACTCGAAAATGCGTAATGTGAAAAATATTTTATACGACCATGGCCGTCGTATGTCCGGGTTGTTGTAAGTAGAATATGTCATAAGTCGAGGGGAGACTATACAGTCAACCCTCACTTTACGCTGTATCACATTCCGCGTTTCCATGTTTACGCAGAGCCCTGCCAGAACCCAGGATGCTCACATTCCGCGGTGCGTGTACCCCTTTACGCAGGTGAAGTATAATTTTTTTATTTAGCTCATAAAATTCATACAAATTGTCCAGCCAGAATATAATTTACATTGCTGAATTCTTACTATTTGATGATCATTTTGAATATAAACATCATAGACTTTGCATTAGACATACAAATTTTAGATCTAATGTTTACTCTGAGTAAATATGTTATCTTTTGTGCAAAATATATGACATTTATATTCAAAATATTCCTGGTCTTACAAGGAATCCAGCAATGTCAATTATATTTTCCTAACTTTAGTCTGAGGTATTATTTATTACTAAAAAGGTAAATAGTCTGGTTTCCCCACACATTTATCTGGTAGGGATGGTTGGTGGGGGGTGGGGGGGAGGGAGGGACCGACCGACCATCTGGCAAGGTGTGAAGAATATTTTTTTTTATTAACTGAAGATATTTGTTTTAGCTCATAAAATTCATACAAATTACCCAGCCAGAATATAATTTACATTGCTGGAATTCTTACAATTTGATGATCATTTTGAATATAAACATCATAGATTTTGCATTAGACATACAAATTTTAGATCTAATGTTTACTCTGAGTAAATATGTTATCTTTTGTGCAAAATATATGACATTTATATTCAAAATATTCCTGGTGTTACAAGGAATCCAGCAATGTCAATTATATTATCCTAACTTTAGTTTGAGGTATTATTTATTACTATACCTTAAAATCTAGTGGTTTTCCCCTCAAAATTTCTCAGAGAGGGAAGAGCCAGTGAGTGTAGTGTGAGAAGAGGGGGAGGAAAATGAGTCCATTATTTGAATGGACATTAACTTGGCGTCTGTATTTCTCTATTTCTCTTAAGTATTAATTGTGTGCATGTACCATCATAAAATTAAGATGTTATTTTTACTAGAACATAGGTATTGTGTTGGAAAAAGTGGAGTTTGGGGGACAGCTGGTCTCTATTCACTTTACGCGTTTCTCACTTTCCGCGGTACCCTGTGGGTTACATTAACCGCGTAAAGTGAGGGTTGACTGTACTGTACTATTTTCTATAGAAATGACTGATTTTCTGTATATGTAACTTTTTTCATGGGGAAAAGGGAGGCTGGGGAACGTAACTCCCATATTTTATCTATTTCTTATGGGGAAAATTGATCCGCTTATCTGTTTCGCATAACGTCGAGATTTTCAGGAATGTAACCCCGACGCTAACTGAGGACTCTGTATTGTATCTTAAAAGTCAGTTATTTTTGCTGCAAGTAAAGAGTGATAAAAAAGTCCGTTTCCAGTACCTGAAATAACTACAGTAATAATATAGTTGCTTATAAGTTTTGTGATTCCAATATAATGTGTGATGGAAAGCCAAAGCAGAATAATCAGATATAAACCAATTATATACAGTATGACCCAGAATTTTGTATATAAATTGTAAATACAAACTAATGTTTTGAAACAAAAATCCTTAAAGTAACAAAGGTAATACAGTACAGTAATAATATGTACCTGTGTTTATATGCATGTTAATTTGTGTACAGTATAAGATTATGGATAAATTTTATTACTGTATACAGTATAACCTATAAAATATTAAGACAAAACATTATACAGAAGAGTGACTTATGCAGCTTACTGTACTGCATTGCTGCCATTATATTTTACCTAACTGATATTATTTCTTTCCTCACTACCATCATTCCCATAACATATAAAACCATCTGAAATCAATCTATTCCTTGCATACTTTATTAGTACAGTATCTCGCTCATGCTCGCCCATCTTTTGGCATCTTCTAACCTTGAGTTACTGAAATCTTTCCCTGGCTTCTGCCATTATTAAATACTGTACTTTAATGAAAATATCACTATTGATATTTCCTGTTGATTCTACTACACATTTCAATGACATTTTTACTCTTGATAACAAACCTACAGAGACTTAGAAACCCTTGCATTGATGAGTATTATTCCTCAACCTTGTTGAAGTGTTCCTTACCTTACAGAGAATCATTTTGCGAGTGATGTATCCTCCTGGCAGGTCGGGAGTCTCTTCCAAGGTTTTGACGGAGAGCTGCTCCACTGGGTACTCTAAGGGATCTTCAGTTACGTTAGGCCAGTACTTGCTACATTTTTCCTGAAGGAGGCATTATGTATGTAAGATTTGATTATGGGAGTACCGAATGTAAGACTTTTTCTTCTTTTTCTCTAATTCCATCTAATTTTTTTTTTTTTATTTTCTTTCTTTCAGAATTCTGTCTCATCCTCTCCTCTCTCTCATTTCTCTATTTCTAACACTATCTTTTCCTATAACTACCTTTAGCTGTCTTCTCTTATTATTATTCATCTCACCTGACTGTTTTTCTCACTCCATATCATGTCTCTCATCTTTCTGTTTCCCTAATTATTCTGTGTACTGTGCAGTACTGTAATAATGTCTCCTTTCTCTCCCTCGCATCTCTACACATCAACTGTCTCTTATCACTCCTATTTACCTTGGAGTTCTGTGTACATTGAGTTAACATGACGATAATGTGGATATTGTTCTCCCACACCATCCTCCAAAAGTCCTTGTTCGTGCTTTCCTTCGGGCCCTGTGTTGCGATAAAATCCCTGATTTTAACCCTGAAGGAAGGAAGGAAGGAAGGATTTTCACGTCAGTTGCTAACAGAATCCCTTAAACTTAATTTTAGACAAATTGACAAATTGTACCAAAATTGGGTTAAATGACGTTATATTAAGTTTGGTGAAGTTATGTTAGGTTAGGTTAGATTTTTTAAAGAAATTATCCACTTCTATGTATTTTAATGATCTGCATGGGCTTTTTTTTACGGAATTAGCCCACCAGGGCACAGGTCAATGACCCACATCAGGACCTGGTGAGCAAAAATATAATACAGTAATAATAATACCTGTACAGTAATAATAAAAAAGTAATACAAAATTATATTAAATAAAAATCTAATATAATATACAGTAATAATAAAAATAAAGGACAAGAAATAAAAAAAAATCAATACCCTGTAGTGAGAAATGATATATGTTTGTTGTGTTGTCAAAGTAAGAGAAATAATTGAGACCCTGCAATGGACAAGTTGACGGTTCTGGGTAAACACAAGAAATACACTGCCACGTTCGTAGAATGATACGGTATATATAATTTGTAATAAAAGTTTAAAGGTCCTGCTATAATAGTCGAGATAAATTTATTTCTTTAGAAACAGGGCCACCATTTGCAATGACGTCACTCGTTTCAAACTCATCGCTGCAATCGGAGGTATTAGAGATGGTGGCTTCCTCAGACCCCAAATGCCACGTTCAGGTAAGTTTTAATGGTTTTTTTTTATGGTTTAAGTCATGGACATTTCGTAAGTGAAGAAATGTGCCGTGAAGAGCTGCTTTAAACATAGGTTGGATGGATATATGAGTGATAGTGGTTGGGTGTTAATGGGACTGCCCAGTATGGGCCAATGAATACAGGTAAAAAAGTCACAATTCACCGGGCCAATATACCCGCTGCAGTATCCTCCATTCTTATGTTCTTTTGGACAGAAAAAACTCCCATGTTCACATCAGCTCAGCTGTCATGTATTCTTACCTGGTAAACTTTCTCTTTTTTTTCGGTGCATTTACAGAGTATATTGTAGTGGATTTCTCCCCTACAAACGCTGTTTGTCGCTGCGTAGCCGACCCCACGAATTCCACAGTGTGTGCCTCGTGGTCTAGGTCAACCAGCGCCGCCATACATCACGGAGCGGGGGTCAACTACTAAGCCACGCCTACCCCGCATTTAAGACCTGACCTCGCCTGTCTCTTTACCTACACCACAGCCAGAAACCTCCTTCCGCCTGCCTGGGTTTCGCGGCATGGGACTGCTGGTCCTCCTCTGACCTCCTCAGCTCTCACATTGTCTGCCCAGGTATTGTACACAATAACATACAGAGAGCACTTGAGCCTTTCTCCATCCCATCCTGAGTGGAACCAAACATCAAATACCCCACAAATGGTGACCCCGGAGTGACCATTTGTGGGTATTGGATGTTGGTTCACACTCGATGGATGGAGAAAGGAAACTCACAATGTGCTCTCTGTATACATGTTGTATTGATGTACAAGCAGCTTGGTGCTGGGAAGGCAGCGTGGTTACAAGCATGATGTAGAGAGAGCTGATTGTGAGGATGCTAGAGGAGGACCAGCTGTCGCCATGCCTGCCGGCGGAGCGAGGACCGCCAGGCAGGCGGAGGAGGAGGAGGTGTTGCTGGCTGGTTGGTGTAGGTAGAAAGAGACAGGTCACCACGAGGTCAGGTCTTAAATAGCGTTTGTAGGGGAGAAATCCACTACAATACTCCCTCCTTCCCTCCAGTTCCTTTCTCCATCCCATCCTGAGTGTGAACCAAGCATCAAATACCCCACAATATCAGTACTAGATGGAGATACGAGTAAATCTAGAAGTAATGACATTGTCTGAACTTTGTTTTGCGAATGCCTGATGCTAGGTACTATGACAACATAGTACAGTTATTGTTTTGATGCTTCACTAATGAACCACTGGGATATATCACCATTTATATTAATTAATGGGTAAATTTATAGTATTCTTTTTTCGATATTAAAAATAGGTTTTTCCTAATTTTTTTGACGAGTTTCGAACGAATTTGACATGAGGTCAGGTCATAATCATGACATCTACTAATCCGCACACCAACACCACCATGATTATGATCTGACCTCATGTTTAGTAAGGTCACCCTGTGTACTTTAGCCTCTCTCCGTCCATGTAATTCAGTTGCCTCTGAAGATGTTTTGAATAAAGACTAAAGCTAAGGTGCTCCATTGTTTCCCTTTTCCCTGTGTGGTTTTATCAATATATATATATATATATATATATATATATATATATATATATATATATATATATATATATATATATATATATATATATATAACACAATAGTAGTAGAGTATTGCTGCAGGTACTTACAGGTAAGTAAGAGGCATTGATGTAGTCACTGCAGGGCTCATTCTGCAGTTCCTTGAGGAGGACTCTTGAGTCATCAACTGCTCGGTGGGTCATCATTATTCACACAATGATAAGGTTAACATAGTTAAACAACTTCAAGGATCTATCAAGTATTCAAACACTAGATCTAATGTTTACATATCTTACAGGATATATCACGAGACAATTAAGACAATAATTCTCAGATCATATATATATATATATATATATATATATATATATATATATATATATATATAAAGGGAAGAAATACAAATTTGATGCCGTTTTTCATACTGAATACAGTAGTAATAATGAAAGTTTAGGAAAATGCATAATTACTGAGTAATGACCATTGATCCTACTCTGTCAATCTTGCCCCACCCCCGAAGATAGACTGCTTCAAAGAAGAGGGGAAATGTGGAATTAAAATATAACTAAGATAACCTAGCCGAATCTGGGTATTGTACTCGTCTACTGAGTCATTATTCAGGAAACTGATAAAAAAGAAACTGACATAATCTCGTTACCGACACCGGTATATACTGTATGATTTAGGCTTGTTTGTGGAATTTAATTGATGTAAGTATACAGAGCTACTAAATTTAACGTTTATTTTCCTTTGCATAACCTCACGGAATCTAGAACATTTAGATGATAGGAGACTCACATGGCAGGATGTTGACGTAGCGGTTCTTGGCGCGGTTATCGGGCAGTAAGGCAACGGTGGTAGGTTTAGCCGGACATACTGATCGCAGCTCTTCATATTCCTGCATCAGCGCCTGTTGGTCTGTACCACACACCCCACGTATTACTTTGCTTGTATTTATATATCTTTGTTACTCTACTCAGTTATTTGCTTTTTTATCCAACACTTAAGAATGCTACTGGAAAGCATCAAAGCTATCCTCTGTATAACCAACTTTTGTTTACTACTGTGTGTATACCTGTACATACTGTACATTGTTTTTATCCCTGATTTGTCTATATAATTTTTTATATACCTGTCCCAACTATGTTTATTTTTGTGCAACTTCGCTGTTTTAATACCTGCACTAAGTTCATTATTCTTTGTACAGGTGTACCCTGCACTCTCTGTGTACATTGTTTATATACCTGCACTGTCAATCTTTATTATATAACTGCACTTTCTATTACCATAATGAATGTGAACTAATATTCCGATTTTACTGAAATCTCTCTCTCTCTCTCTCTCTCTCCACGAATGAAGGTTAATTCTTTTTTATTACGGAGAATAACCTACCCGGGCACAGGTTATCGACCCCAAAGGAGCCTGGGAGGTAAGAAAATTGTAGAAAATAAAACATTAACAATTAGAAGAAAACTATGTTAATCTATACCATGGCGATGCCAGACAACCAGCTTTTTGAAGTGAGACAGTTTGTAAGAGGAGGGTATCACAGAAGGCAGAGCATTCCACAGTTTAGCTGTGTGAGAAAAGAAGGGTGTACTATAACGGGTTATTCTAGTGTGACCGACATCCACACAGAAACGGTGGGCACAGCAGGCAAGACGTGTTACGAGCCCACGGCCTTGCCGGCCAAATCCACTGAACATTGCCCGTTAAAGTACCTGTTAAAGCGAGTTAAGCAACATTGCGGCGAAGAGAAAGGGAAGAAAGATTATTGATTAGAGGAGAAGGGTTAATAAGATGAAATGCCTTTAATTCCACTCTATTTACCAGCGAGACAGAAGAAGAGTCACCCCAGATATGAGAGCATGAATCCCCTATAAACCCGAAGCAACTGCTCAGGAGTGAAGTAGCTATGGCATATGTACAGCATTCCCAAGTTCTGTTCATTCACTTATCTTCCCTGCCCAAATCCGTAATTATAAAAGGTTCCCAATCCTCAACTAAACTCAAACTCAAACCTTCTTGAGGAAGTTCTTACAAAACTTGGGTGAGAGATATCAGGAATACCCGTGGTGTACCATGAGGGAACATACACCATGAGGGAACATACACCATGAGGGAACATACAGCATGTGGAAACACACCACGAGAGCGAACATAGACCATGTAGAAACACACCATGAGGGAAGTAGGATTTTATCCAGGGGTCACTTGTTTGGCGGGAATAATCGGGATATTGTCCAGGAGTCACGTGTCTGGCGGGTTATTGTTCAGAGTCACGTGTCTGGCGGATATTGTTCAGGAGTCACGTGTCTGGCGGGATATTGTTCAGGAGTCACGTGTCTGGCGGTTATTGTTCAGGAGTCACGTCTGGCGGATATTGTTCAGGAGTCACGTGTCTGGCGGGATATTCTTCAGGAGTCACGTGTCTGGCGGGTTATTGTTCAGGAGTCACGTGTCTGGCGGGATATTGTTCAGGAGTCACGTGTCTGGCGGGTTATTGTTCAGGAGTCACGTGTCTGGCGGGATATTGTTCAGGAGTCACGTGTCTGGCGGGATATTGTTCAGGAGTCACGTGTCTGGCGGGATATTGTTCAGGAGTCACGTGTCTGGCGGGATGTTTGTCTACTCTAGGGGGTATGTGTCGGGCGGATTTTCTCCACTGGCACGTACCATGAGCCAAGAGAGCGTTAACGGTGATGGGCAAGTCACTGAGATGGACAGGTCGACGGATGTGAACAAGTGACTGCAGGTCTAGTAGCCAGCCAAGGTCCAGCGGCGAATGTTCCGCCCTGTAGATAGATAAATTGTCACACAAGTTTTCTTTGAATTAGCATGTAAATAGACTACAGTATGTAGGTGGTATACAATATATACATAGCTCAATCAGGTATTCAATTTAACTATCTGGACAGGATGGATATACAACAATGTGACCCAACGAGACTCAAAACAGCTGATTTTACTCGATGATAAAATACTACTGATTATATAGTTTTTAGATTTTCCTCACCCATAACTCACATTGACTCAACACAGCTGATATTTCTTACTCATGACCCAGACATGGGGTGATTACATGGGTACTGTAGTCAATTACCGTATTACGATTATATGTTGTATTTTAATTGTTACAATTACGATTACAGAAAATGTGAGTAATCGATTACAGTTACGATTGCATGATATAATTATGCTTACAACCATGATTACTTAAACAGTGTACTGTATTTGAAAAATGAGAATATACTGGTGATAGAGATATTAATTTTATTATTTGTCAACTTGTGTGCGAAACTGGAACCATTGCTGGCATCACCTCACGCAACGAATGAGTTAACTTTTTTTTATCCTCTTCGCCACTGATCGGTTCGTTAGCCAGTTGGGCTGTCGGTCACGTCTCTGTTACGCACTGTTGGCAAGTAGTGGGCATGTACTGGCACCTGAATGTATCTGAACCTGCTCCAGTGTTGGTCAAGTCTGATCTTGAAAGAGCTCATACTCGGTGCCATCACAACATTATCTGGCAAGTTCTAAGAGTCACAATTCCTACGCCCTCACAGTTTTCTGGATTTGTGGCTTCTTCAACTGGAGGCTTGAAGCCTGGTGTGGACAAGCCATCCGGCAAGCCTGATGGACACTGTCAGAGTCTTCCTGTGTCGGACGGCATGTCGACTTTCGTGCGTTTTTTCCAGCTTAGAAAAGGATTCCCCGCCCCCTCCTCAAGAGTTGCAAATCTGTCCTATTTCATCCTGAAGTAATGACGTATTTCTAAATGAGTTTATTCATAATCGTTGGGTTGACCGTTTTTTGACGAGAAAGATATTTAGCTAAATCATATAGATACATACATTACATTCATTATTTCAAACAAGAGCACGTAGGAAGTTTATCAGAAATCTTATACGTGAATTAACTATTAAACTCTGGTAGCAAATTTTTTAGGAAAGTTGAGGTAGTAGATAATGACGAAAATTATGATGTTATTTACTTAGACTTTAGCAAAGCATTTGACAGAGTACCGCATCAGAGGCTTCTGAGAATAGTTAAGGCTCATGGTATCGAGGGGAAGTTTTAAATTAGATAAAATCATGGCTCACCGATAGAACGCAGAGGGTCAGCGTAGATGGTGTTAAATCTGAGTGAGGCTGTGTTACCAGTGGGGTTCCCAAGGGGTCAGTACTGGGCCCACTCTTGTTCATAATCTACATAAACGATCTAGATACTGGGATCAGCAGTGACATAAGCAAGTTTGCGGATGACACCAAAATAGGGCGGCAGATTAATTCAGGGCAGGATGCAAATGCACCACAGGAGGATCTAAATAAACTGCAGGGGTGGTCTGAAAAATTGATTGATCTCATCCCCGATTCACAAACGAATCAGTCTTATTACGTGACAACACACCTCACACTGACTCATAACGTGACTCACAACACCATTCACACTGACTCATAGCGTGACTTACCGCACAACTCACCCTGACTCGTAACGTGATTCACCACAATTCACACTGACTCAACGTGACTCACCTCACAACTCACACTGACTCAAAACTTGACTCACCACACAACTCACACTGGCTCATAATGTGACTCAAGAACGCTAATTTTTATATCATCCATGACTCACAGAGATTTAACTCGCCCATAACATAACTTATATGACTCTTACTCACGCTAACTCGACTTACCTTTCAGGCATGAACTTGCGGAAGACGCACTGGCCGACAAAGACGAGGATTATACTCACTACCAGCACCACCAAGATCACCATCACCATCGTCATGACATTGTACGCTGTGGTGAGTCAAGGAGAGAGATATAAAGATGGGTGTATTGATTAAATTATTGAAGCAAGACCAGATAGTGAGAGAGAAAGATATATTATATATATATATATATATATATATATATATATATATATATATATATATATATATATATATATATATATATATATATATATATATATATATATATATATATATATATATATATATATATATATATATATATGTATATATATATATATATAAAATCACACAGGGAAAAGGGAAACGATATATGTATGTTGTTTTGTTAAAGTGAGAGAAACAATTGAGACCTTGCAAGTGTGTGTAAATGAGGCAGAAAGTCAGATCAGCAACCTGGGACTTGGTCACAATTTTCGTGATGCCATATGGCAGCAGGGTCTACCATTAGACAACACATTATGCTTCCAATATCTTCCCAGGTGGTAGTACCCCCCTGTTTGATAGCTGCCTACTACCTAATACCTACTTATGGAATTAAGTCGATGGATGACGTTAACAAGACACTTCAAGAATTATATGTAAAACCTGCATATTCTGTATGACGAGTAATGATAAAATCCCTGTATATGACAATGACTATAAATATTTACATCACTATCCAATTATATTTTGACACTATACGAAATGAGGATAAAGCGAAACGAGATGAATTATTACATGCCAACAAAGACGTAACTTACATTTTGTTTTGAATATGTACTCTCTTGTGTCGGCAAAGCCCATGGTAGTGTACATCCGGAGTTTGTACTCGTAGGCAGTATCCGCCAACAAAGGTCCATTACAAGTTTTGCAGTTTTCGTACTGGTCAGCCCCTTGGCCATAGTAATATAAAATATTATTTTAAGTTGTCGAACTTGGTAAGCACATTTGTAGAGTTGTTTAAGTTCATGTGTTGTTGTTATTACCCAGCTTTGACAATAAAGGTCTTTAAGCGCGTAACAAGTTTTGTGATACAACAATGTTAAAACATAATGAAAGATAAAACCCCATTTTTGATATGCTGAAATGTGTAAGATAATATATTTAACTGTAAGTTGAATATCCTTATATAAAATACTTTGCCTTGTCAGTTTTAAAGTATACATGCCCTTTTATTTTATATTTTTATTTATTTGAAAGCCCTATCCAGACAAGGATCATCTGCTAATCCTCCTGCAGGGCTGAGTTAGAGGCAAATATTTCGAAAGTAGATTGGCCTTCTGAGAATCTGAGATCACTGGATCACTGAAACACGAGGAGAGTTAAGATGAAGTATGGATGAATGGAGATTGACTTTGGTAAAGGTAGATCATATTCAAGAGGTGAATCCGTCATATGTAAGGGGTGAAGCAGTCGAATTGAAGGGGTGTATCTCATATATAAAGGGTAAATCTGTCATATAAGGAGTAAATCTGTCATATGTTAGGGTTAAGACATCGTATTCAGGGGATGAATCTGTCGTACATAAAGGTTTAATCTGCTATACTGTAATGCCAACATATAAGCACACCTTGAGTTATATAATAATAATCACTGCACTTTGCACTTATTCATTCATTATGAATTAACTCTCACATGCCCCAAGCATTCACAAAACAGCTGAACTGTCTCTGTTTACACGGCCAAGTCGCCAGATCACACAGAGCTCGAACGAAGCACATCAACTATGCTAAACTCTGATTGGAAGACTCACTATAACAGATCTTCCTTGTACAAATTGTTAAAATAGTGTGTGTTTGTAATAAAGAGAAAACACCCAATTGTGTTTCACACTAATCCCTGCCACTGATAAACTATCTTACCTAAACAGTGCAAGCCATGGGGCAGCACTCAACATTGCTCTTATCAATGAACAAAGGTCACAACAAAAAGTGGAGTAAATGACTATAAAATAGTATCCCACCGCTGCCACCATTGTGAGTCACATTATAATAAATGAATAAGAAATGTAAAATATAGTGGTTATTACTATATAACTGAAGGTGTGCTTATATGTTGCTATTACACCATGTTAGGGGTAAATCTGTCATACGTGAGGAGTAAAGTATTTGTATTGAAGGTGTGAATAATATTCAGAGGTTGTTGAAATAATACCTTATGAGCTAAGTTGTCATACGACATGACTTAAGTCTCGTCTTATGAGATAAGTCATCGTTTGTTACATATAAATACATGTCGTCTGAGAGTTTTCTTATTGAGTGGTTTAAGTTAATTTAGATTAGGTTAGGTTAAGTTAAATTTGGTTAAATTAAGTTAATTTAGGTTAGGTTCATTTAATTTAGGTTACGTTGGGTTAGGTTAAACTAAATTAGGCTATCGCCTTCCAGGTGTGTAGGAAATTGTGTTGTTTTCTGTCTTTTATGTGATTTAACGAATCAAGATTGAAAAGTGAAGTGGATCCCATAGGCATGACTGGCCGTTATGAACACACTGTATACTTATCCATCAATACACAAGGAGGCAGCATGGCCACTACGTCACTCGACTGCATTCACTTCTCAAGAAGTAAACTTTGGTACCCATTTACAGCTGGGTGAACTGGGAGTACTACTTTGTTGTCACACTGAATCGAGTATGACGATCATCCAGCTATGAGACAATGATGTGAGTTAGGTTGCACATGTGGGAGGCTACATATAGCGCGGGAGGGACGGCGGTAGCGTCTTTTCGGCGTTGGTGCTTGTCTGCCTTGGTTTGCAGTCGGGCTAATTCGAAAGTATTGACACCCTCTCTTGTAGATTTACAGTGTGGAGTAATCGTCTCCCAGGTGAGGGGATCGGTTTGACACTTTTCAGGTTTGTCTTAAAGACTATCCTTATACCTTTTCCTTTGTCCGCCAGCTATACCTTTATGATTCATTAGGTGACTGTAAAGTAGAGTTTTGGCAGTCTATTGTTGGCTATATGGGTAACATGGCCAGTCCAGCGTAGTTGTTTATGGATAATGGTAGCCTCGATGCTCTCCAACAGTTGTGTCAGCGAGAAGACTGGCATTTTTCCCGTTTGGATGAGAAAGAACTCAGACTGGGTGCCATTGTGCAGGACACTGCCGTTCATGTCATCATGGAGTTACCTCACAATGGTGATGAATTTTGGTGGACAGCCGTTTTGACCAGAGGGCTTCCCTGTTGACCGAGCCAAAGGCCTTAGTTTAAGGTTGATGAAGGCCAGGTACAGGTCATGACGCTGTTCTCTGCACTTTTCCTGTATCTGGCAGGCAGCAAAGATCATGTTGGTGATGCCACGTGATGGTCTAAAGCCACATTGAGATTCTGGGAGAAAGTTTTCTACCTCAGGAAGATGTCTGTTTAGGGGGGCTCAGGCGATAATCTTGCCAGCTACGGACAGCAGCGAGATCCCGAGTAGTTGCCACAATCTGACCGGTCTCCCTTGTTCTTGTAAATATTGACAAGGGAGGTGTCTTTAAGAGCTTGGGGGATTTCCTCCTTTTCCCATATATTTTCCTGGAGAGAGTGGAGATGGCTCATAAGCAAAGGTTCCTCCTGCTTTATACACCTCAGCTGGGATTCCATCAGGCCCCGAGGCTTTGTTATTTTTAATTTGTTTGATGACAGTAGCTACCTCAACCAGGACTGGAGGATAGCTGAGATGGATCAGCTCTGGATGTTGACGGACCTGTTGGGTAGTCAGGACATCTACATAGGTGTTTCGGTTGAGCAGCAAATGGTAGTGCTCTTTCCAGCATCCTTCAGTCTTTAATTAGGGAGTTACTGTCGGATGAGCAGAGGGGGCCTGCGCCATGAGTGATTGGCCCATAAAATGTTTAAGTGGAATTGAAAAATTCGTACATCTTGTGATGATCTGCAAGATTTTGCATTTCACATGCTTTTTTTTGAACTGTTGTTCTTTAGTTTGTGAAGTTCTTGCTGGGCCGCCTCTTTTGTCTTGCAGAAGGTATCAGCTTTGGTCTGAGATTGAGGGTTGTTCTGCCAATCAGTTACAGCAGCACATTAATCATCGACGAGTACATTGATTTCTGGGTCATTTTCGTCAAACCAGTCCTGGTGTATTCTTTCGATCTGGCCAAGGGCCTTTCTGCAGGCCTTTGTCATGACAGTGTCGAGAATACCTCTTTCTGCACTGGGTTTGGGTTTTGTTGTCTGGTTGCTTATTAGCCCATGTTCGAGCTGCTCTCTGAAAGCATGTGCTACAGCTGGATTTTTCAGATGCTTAGTGTTAAAACCTCTTCTGGAGGCTTGTTGCATTCGCCATTTTGGGGCAATATGAAGTGATAGCTTGGTTCTGACGAACCGATGATCGGTGTCTCAATGGTATGAGCCCCGCATGGCTCGGGTGATGAGGACATTTCGGCGATCTTTTTCTCTGACAATGATGTAGTCAATGAGATTCCAGTGTTTGGATCGTGGGTGTTGCCACGAACCCTTGAATTTGTCGGCCTGCCTAAACAAGGTATTGGTGATAGTGAGGTTGTGTGCAGCACACTTGCTGAGGAAGAGTAGGTCTTTGGGATTACACTTGCTTAGTCCATCTCCCCCTATGATTCCCTGCCAAATGTCGGCATTTCTGCCAACTCTGACATTGAAGTCACTAAGGAGCACAACCTTATCTTCTCTGGGGATAGAGGTTAGCACTCTGTCAAGGTCGGCGTAAAAGGACTCCTTGATATCATCCTCTGCATCTAGTGTTGGGGTGTATGCACTGATGAAAAAGGCATGGCGTGAGTGATTCAGTGGGACTCGGAGCGTCATGAGGCGCCCATTGATCCCAACAGGCATTTCAGTTAGCCTGTGCAGGATGCGTTGGTGGATGGCAAAGCCTGTCTCCATAAATGCGGTTTCTCTCCACAGCAGGCTTACCCTTCCAGAAGATATAGCCAGACCCCCATTCTGTGAGTCGACCCTCGTCTGGGAGCCGGGACTCGTTAATGGCTGCTATGTCGATGTTATACCTCGCCAGCTCTTTTGCCACAAGGGCGGTTCTTCTTTCAGGATGTTCATTTGTGCCAGTATCCAGAAGAAAATATTGTTAATTTATTTTGTCTTTGTTTATCTGGGTTTCTTTTGAAGTATATATTTTGAGTTGAACAGAAATTATGACAGTTACATTATGAAGTTGTTTTTGTGCTGAATTAAGAGCAGTCTTGTAATTGGGTTCAAGAGGTCACTCTGCCTCCCCACAGCCATAAAAAAAAGAAGCAAAAACAGATGACTGATTAACCCTCAGATTGCTAAGGATTTGTCAAAGCTGACTAAAACCCTTCAAGCTGTTCATGGCGCTCAGAGGGTAAAGAAGATTTTACACAATGATTCTATATGATAATTATGAAAAACAGTCATTCAGTAATAAGGAAATGGATGAAATGAAGAAATAAAAAAAGTGCTGATGGTGATTTAATCAACGTTGATGCTAAAATATGGAAAAGACACGCCTACAGAAGGTGTTGTCGAAGAAGAGCAGAGAGATGAAGAGACTTACCCAAGATGAATATGCCTGTGCTGACACTAACAGGGTTGAGGATGCGGTAAAGGGCCTCTTCTTTGTAAAAGTTCCGGTAATACGTGTTGTTTTGGACGTCGTTCAACCAACCAAATGTCGGTGGCTCTAGGAAATTGAACTTGGCTAGGATGACCTGGAACTGCCTGCAGTATAAAAAGTAAAGAATTACATGAAAAGTGAAAGTGGATCCCACAGACTTGTCGTGCATACAACACACTGTGCAGTAAGGCTTCGGTACAAAGAAGCATTCAACCCCTTTCACTTCAGCAACTAAAAAGTAAGGTACAGTTGCCTGCAAATGAACGTACCACAGCCTGAGAGTGTGTGAGGGCTCAGGTACAGTCTCACCCAAAGGTTCTTTAACTCTCCCAGCTAGCTATTGCTGCACTGCCTGCTTCAGATGTTTGAATTTGAGGCTGTTACTTCGAACCTTTAGATTCATTCGTATCGGTTTCATGTTCTGGTAGGTATTGGGACAGTTTCAAACATCTGAAGCAGGCAGTGCAGCAATAGCTAGCTGGGAGGGTTAACTAACTTTTGGATGAGACTGTACGAGATGTGGCAATACAGCTCGTTAGTCATGGGCGTGAAACCATGGAATACCCTGTTTGCCGGCAACACAACAATGCTGCATAATGCATATTATAGGGTTCGTTTATCTTTTAACCCCCTTTAATGTTTGTATCTTATCACAAATAGGGTAATTTAATTACCCTGGTTTCATTGTTTCATTCCCATGCATTCAAACCTGACTAAGGCGCTGCATTGCCACATCCCATACCCCGAGCTGAGGGCTCAGGTACCTGGATCAGAGCTGTGGTACGTTCATCTGGAAGCAACTGTACCTATTTATAACTGGGTGCCGACTGAATGGTATACTTTACTGTCTATGATATTCAGTCTAGCATCGGCGTTCTTATTCCTTAGTACAGTGGTTCTCAACCTTGTTTGCCCCATGCACCCCTTTCACCATATGTCAGAATGTCATTCCCCCCCTCCTTTCCAAGATTGTCTGCCTCAAAAAGTGCATTCCAAATAATATGCATATAATACTGAAAATCCTTTATTTTTTCCATATTAGTACATATACATTCCCCCCCCTGAAAACCTGAATTCCCCTGGGGAATTCCCCCCTGGTTGAGAACCCCTGCCTTAGTAAGTCAGGCCAGTGTATATACTCCTCATCTCCTCCCTCATCCCATTGTAATTTCCTTTGTAATATTTGGACCTGGACCTGGTTTTGTCATGAACCAAGTAACAGTTAACTCTGAAGGACAACGTTACGTGGTGACTGGTGTTCCAGATTGGCCACCATACCCTCCTCGTTAGTTATGATGAAGTCCAGGCGTTTGGGAGTATGCTCCCCTCTGTAGTGAGTCGGATCTTTAACATGGAATAGAAAACTGTCTCTCAGAGTTTCTACAAAGAGAGTGGCTGGATTATTATTATTATTATTATTATTTATTATTATTATTATTATTATTATTATTATTATTATTTTTATTTTTTTTTATTATGTGGGTGGATTATTTAGGTCGTTTGGCATGGATTCATTTCTCCAGTCGATGTCGCCATATTAAAGTCCCCCATGACAAGGAGGTAGTAGGGTTCTTCACCGTTATATTATCTCTATTTGTGTTGCCACTATAAATACTGCATATCGCTATGAACACTTTGTGGTGGAAACAATGCCTTCGAGACAATTCGGCTTGTTTTGTCTTTTTTTAATATTATTCACTTTTATCTCTTTTCCCGCTTTCATCATCGAAATTATCTCTATGAACTATCACTATATACACTGTATCGCCCCATGAATGGTGATTGTAGTCACAGTTCAGTCCTTAAGAAAACAAACACACAAAAGAAAATCTTCCTTGGTAGCACCAAATACTATGTCTTGGCTACTCCCAGGCACTGGTGCCTGATTGCTTGTCCCAATTTTGAATTTTTTTCACTTTAATTTATTTCCAATTTCCACCGCGGTCACTGTTGTCACTATGGACTGCCTAAGCTAAAGGCACAATACTACACTCACTGATCGGCCCTTGGATGGTTAATCACAGCCATGAACATAACGCATTTAAAATTTTCTGAATAAACCTTGTCATATGGCAATAATTTTGTGGTTGTACTCCCCGGCCTGTTCCTCTGGTCAGTAGAGTGTTATCAAATATACAATGGGGAATAACGATAAAAATCCTACATCGATTTACACATTTACGTCACAAAGACGATTTTGATGCTCTTATGCAATCACTGTCTAATTACCGCCACTCAACAACGTTTACATGTGACCTGGCTTTACCCGATGGTCTTTTCTCTTTCTTTGATATTGTCGAGTATGGGCCGTCACCTGAACGTAACGAAAACACTCACCTGATCGTGCCATAGCTGTTATCGAGTCTGTCCGTGAAGATCCTGATACCTATTGTGGAATGTTCGGGTCCTCTCATCTCCATGGGGATATCGCGTGTTTTTAAGGTCTCTACAACGTTGTCCATTTGTGGTGGAACTGCGTTAAGAAACACCTGGTTGTTGTGTGTTCTAGGTTAAATAAACTGTCTTCTTATTCTAAACTAAAATGTGACTCAGAATCTTGCGAAGAACTATGATAACAGCAAGAAGTACCGAGAGTTTTTAATTATATTACCTATTTTCATCCTAAAATATAAATAAATAAAAAATAGTGAATTGTCAATTATTCCTACAGTCATTATTGTTATTCATATTGTCATATCACTTTAGACGAAACATTTGGTCTAGGTGGAATTACTCACTTCCCGAGCCTGTTTCCATGTCTTTCGATACCAGGATTGTAGATTGAGAAGTGGATCCGGAGGTCATTACTTTGAACCTGTATACATACACACGGGAGCATGGACTTAGATGATAATATTTCCATCTTATAACAATAATATATGTCTTTTTTAGTAATGTTAATAATCTTTTACCATCATTACAGTGTCATACCACACCAGGACCCCACTGTCAGTTACCACATAACGCAGCAATCCGAACCATCTACAGTATACCACGCCACATTACATTATTTAGCATTCCACTTTTTCTTTTTCTTTTTACAGGGATTATTAGCCCACCAGGGCACAGGTCACTGACCCACATCGGGGCCTGGGGGCAAGATGTAATAATAATAATAATAATAATAATAATAATAATAATAATAATAATAATAATAATAATAATTATTCATAATAAATAAAATATTTAATAAAAAATAAAACAATTTTAAAACAATAATGACACTGTAATATTAATAATACTAATAATAATTATAATAATAATAATAATAATAAAGAACCATAAAGAAGAAGAAAAATAAAGAACCATAAAGACAAAAAAATAAATCAGGAGTGAGAAATGATATATGTATGTTGTGTTGTCAAAGTGAGAGAAACAATTGAGACCTGCAAGTGTGTGTAAATGAGGCAGAAAGTCAGATCATCAACCTGGGACTTGGTCACAATTTTCGTGATGCCATATGGCAGCAGGGTCTACCATTAGTCAACACATTATGCTTCCAATATCTTCCCAGGTGGTAGTACCCCCCTGTTTGAGTGCTGCCTACTACCTAATACCTTCAGAGCAAGACAACAATATTACATCCTGATCGCCACAACACCACACCATGCCACAAACAACACCATGTCACACCACACCATGCTACAACACCACACCATGTCACACCACACCATGCTACAACACCACACCATGTCCCAATACCACACCATGCCCCAACACCACACCACACGATGTAGGTAGTAGGTAGTAGGCAGCTACCAAACAGGTAGGTACTACCGCCTGGGAAGATATTGGAAGCATAATGTGTTGTCTAATGGTAGACCCTGCTGCCATATGTGACCAAGTCCCAGGTTGATGATCTAACTTTCTGCCTCATTTACACACACTTGCAGGGTATCAATTGTTTCTCTTACTTTGACAACACAACATATACATACAGGTATATCGTTTCTCACCCTAGATCTTTTCTTTCATTTTTGTATTTCTTCATGGTTCTTTATTATTATTATTTTTATAGTTTTATATTTTTTTATAAAATTTATTATTATTATTATTATTATTATTATTATTATTATTATTATTATTATTATTATTATTATTATTATTATTATTATTATTATTATTATTATTATTATTATTATTATTATTATTATTATTATTATTATTATTACATTTCGCCCCCAGGCCCTGATGTAAGTTAGTGACCTGTGCCCGGGTGGGCACAGGTCAACACACCACACAAACAACCATACTACATCAACACCACACCATCACCACACCACACCAACTCCACACCATCACCACACCAATACCACACCATCACCACACCACACTAACACCACACCACCACACCACACAACACCCACACACCAATACACACCACACCATCACCACACCATCACCACACCACACCGACACCCACACCATCACCACACCACACTACACTAACACCGCACCATCACCACACTAATACCACACCATCACCACACAATCACCACACCGAAACCACACCATCACCACACCACACTACACTAACACCGCACCATCACCACACTAATACCACACCAACACCACACAATCACCACACCACACCATCACCACCACACTACACAACACCGCACCATCACCACACTAATACCACACCATCACCACACAATCACCACACCAACACCACACCATCACCACACCAACACCACACCATCACCACAACAATACCACACCATCACCACACAATCACCACCAACACCACACCATCACCACACCAACACCACACCATCACCACACAATACCACACCATCACACACAATCACCACACCAACACCACACCATCACCACACCAACACCACACCATCACCACACCAATACCACACCATCACCACACAATCACCACACCAACACCACACCATCACCACACCAATACCACACCATCACCACACCAATACCACACCATCACCACACAATCACCACACCAACACCACACCATCACCACCAACACCACACACCATCACCACACCAACACCACACCATCACCACCAACACCACCATCACCACACAACACCACAACACCACACCATCACCACACCAACACCACACCATCACCACACCAATATCCACACCATCACCACACAATCACCACACACAACACCATCACCACACCAACACCACACCATCACCACACCAACATCCCCATCACCACACCAACCCTCACCACACCATCACCACACCAACACTAACACCAGACGACCACCAACACCACACCATCACCACACCGTCACCACGACACACAATCAACCACACTACATCAACACCACACCACACCATCACCACACCATCACCACATCAACTCCACACCATCATTAAACCAAGCCAAAACACACCATCATAACTCCACACCAGCACCACATCAACACCACTCCGACACCACATGACCACCATACCACACCAACACCACACTATAACCACACCAAGACCATCACCTCACCATCACCAAACAATCACCATACCAACACCATCACCATACCATCACCATACCATCACCACACCACACTAACACCACACCATCACCACACCATCACCATACCAATACCACACCACCACACCGACACCACACTAACACCAGACGGCCACCAACACCACACCATCACCACACCATCACCACATCAACACCACACCATCACCACGCCATCACCACATCAACACCACACCATCACCACACCATCACCACATAAACACCACATCATCACCACACCAACACCACACCATCACCACACCATCACCACAGACCACCACACCAACACGACACCATCACCACACCAACACAACACCATTACCACACCATCACCACACCAACACCACACAACAACACCACAGTAACACCACACCACCACCACACTAACAACACACCACACCACCATACCTCACCAACACCACACCATCACCACAGCAACACCACACCATCACAACACCACACTGACACCACATGACCACCATACCACACCAACACCACACCATCACCACATGACCACCACACCACATCAACGCCACACCAACACAACACCACATCAACGCCACGCTAACACCACTCCATCACCATCCAAAACAACCTACCACACTACATCAACACCACACCACACCATCACCACACCACACCAACTCCACATCATCGCCACACCATCATCACACCACACCAACTCCACACCATCACTACACCACACCAAAACCACACCACCATAACACCACATCAACACCACACCAAGGATTGCCAACACGGTTTTATGCCGGGGCGCTCCTGCTTAACACAATTCCTAAAGGTATTGGATATTTGGACCTATATTCTTGAACGGGGTGGTAATATCGACAATATTTATCTAAATTTTGCCAAGGCTTTTGACAGTGTACCCCACGAAAGGCTGAAAATCAAACTGGAAGGGTAGGGAATTCGGGGAAATGTCCTAGCGTGGATAGAAGACTTTCTACATGACCGCAAGCAGTGTGTGGTGATTAATGGCACGAAATCATCATCCGTACCTGTCACAAGCGGAGTACCACAGGGCACTGTATTGGGCCCGCTGTTGTTTGTTTGTTTCATAAATGAAATGCCTGACCAGTGTCGGATTTAGACCTGTGGAGGCCCATGGGCAGCCTCTTTGTGGAGGCCCCCCTCATTATAACTACCCAAGAGGGTGGGGTGGCGAGTGAAGCGAGCCTAAACATCTGGGAGTTCCGGGGGGCGCTGTAAGCCCCCCGGGAAAATTTTGAAATTTGAACACTTCTTTGGAGAATTTTGAAGCCATATGCAGTTATATTGAGGAAATTAGAACATTGAGAAATTTTTAATTAACTGTATATTTATTGATAGTGTACAAATTCCCAACACACACACACACACAAAAGTGAGACATGACTGGAGTCATTCATGTGGTTTCAAGTCGGTTCATAGGTAAACCAGGTATTCATGAATTTGAAGGAGTAGCTAGCCTAATTTCTATCACGCTTCTTGCTGAACATAGTTTTACGTGTCCTTACTTGGAGCTGGCGGACGCTCGCCCCACAAGGGGTCACAGCTCAAGATTGAAGACTCAAGTTCAGAAAACTGTGAGGGCAAACTTTTTCGGAGTGAGGGTTGTGAACTCTTGGAACAATCTCCCAGAAAGTGTTGTGACGGCACCGAGTGTGAGCTTTTTCAAGACCAGACTTGACCAACACTGGAGTGGGTTCGGGTACATTCAGGAGCCGGTGCATACCCGGTACTTGCCAACAGTGCGTAACAGAGACGTGACCGATCGCCCAAACGGCTAACGAGCCGATCAATGGTGAAGAGGATAAAACAAAACAAACAAAAAACTTCACATGACCACCAAACCACGCCAACACCACACCATAACCACACCAACACCATCACCACACCATAACCACACCAACACCATCACCACACCATCACACCAACACCATCACCACACCATCACACCAACACCATCACCACACCATCACACCAACACCACACCGCCACCACCAACGCCGTACCATAACCACACAACACCATCACCACACCATCACCATACCATCACCACACCATCACCACATCACACCAACACCACCCACCACACCAACGCCATCACCACACCATAACCACACCAACACCATCACCACACCATCACACCAACACCATCACCACACCATCACACCAACACACCATCACGTACCACACCATAACCACACCAACGCCGTACCATAACCACACCAACACCATCACCACACCATCACCATACCATCACCACACCATCACCACATCACACTAACACCACATCATCACCACACCAATACCACACCATTACCACACCAACACCACAACATCACTACACCATTACCACACCAACACAACACTAAAACCACACCATCACCACACTACACTTCACCACACCATTACCACACCAACACCACACCAATACCATACCATTACCACACCAACACCACACCATCAACATCCCAGCACCATACCATCACCACATTAGCATCATATTACTACTCACGTGTATTTAGTGTTGGGCAGCACATCTAATTCGAGGGAACATTTTGTATTGTGACACGTGCATTCCCTGTTGTTCCCGTACCGCCTATTGGAATACCACCCACCGTAGTATAGAGGGATATTATGGTAATCGCCATAGCCTACACCTGCAAATGAAGGAAAACGTTTCAGTAATATTCACACGATGTTAACACAGAAAATAACAAAAGAGATCAATATTTTCATGAAAGATTCGGGCATTCCACATCCTATAAATAATTATTAATACAATGACAACATCCAGAAGGCGTTGGGTGAGTGGTACTATAATGCATACAAGCATTTGCCTTTTTATATCGGCCTAAGCTTTGGATTTTTTTTTGGGGAGGAAGGGGTAATATTAGTACCTCTCACTTTTCTCAACACTCTAAAATCAACAACCCCTAAGGTTCAATGGTGGCTTTTGTTTCTGCCTTAATGAGGATGTTGTATACTAATAGAATTGTGTAAAGTTGCCCATATATATATATATATATATATATATATATATATATATATATATATATATATATATATATATATATATATATATATATATATATATATATATATATATATGTGTGTGTGTGTGTGTGTGTGTGTGTGTGTGTGTGTACAGTAAGTTCCTGATCTTGGTAATGATTCGCCAGTATAAAGAAGCAATATTGGTGTACAGTTTTAAATCCTTACTTTTTTTCCTACAGCTTCTGAAGGATATATCGCGTCCTTCAATAGAGGTTACTAGTTTCATATCATTTGGCGATCCTTCATAACTCCAAGAAATCATTGTCGTCCTTTCACTGTCCCTATCGAATGAAGGCAAAGTCGTCATCAGCTTCCAGGCAGCAGGGCGACCTGAGTGAGAGGAGGAGAGAGGTGGGTTAAGATACCATTATTCACCTTATTCCTTTAAGTGATAAATATGAGTATCCTCAGCCGTAAAATTCGCCTCTTTCCCTGGGGTTTTTGTATAGTAAAGAGTAATTACTATTGATTTCAGGATATCTCCTAATATCAAGTGCACATGGCTTCAAAATGGCCGCAAAATGCTCATGATATTTGTCAGATCTAAAGAAAAAGGTATATATATGGGGGCGTACAGCGACCCCACCCCCTCAAAAAAGCAGCTGGGTGGGCTTGTAACAGCCCCTGTCTTATAGGCAGAAGTATTATATAAATGGGTAAATTACATTTAATTTATATACTCTATCACCCTCTGTAACTTTCCACTAGCTATGAGGTAGCATGTTCAGAGCACGTGTTAAGGTGTGCCCACGGGAAGTCGTGTCACTTAATGCTGAGTTAAGGCGTTAAGTAGCCGGCTCTCTGGACACCTCATGCGGGCAGTAGTTTGATATCCTTGACTAGAGGAAGACGTTATTGAGAGCCATCGTGGATGGTTCTGTCTTCCCTCGAGGGAGGACGACGGATATATTTCCGTTCTCCCTCGATGGGTCCCTACTCGTAGGCATTGTTACTCAACCCCTCACACCAACCGGACGTATTTAGCAGAGCTATTTAACATAGCCTCCGTCCTCCTCTTAACATTCATAGCTACAGTACAGTGATAAGTTACGGTGATATACACTTGGAACTGTATTCTAGATACTTCCTAAATAAATGGATAACAGACAATTGGGTTTAGCTACTAAAACCCTATATAATATACATGTTCCGGCCTCAGTAACCAAGACAGAATCAGCGGTTAAAAGACCTAGAACAGGCTCGCTGTGCTCGCCATGTTGCCTCACCCACAACTTCTGCGACCACCCCTCTTTTGATATATCTGGATCTGCCACTGATAAGAGACTGTCAACATTCTCTATCAAGGAGATAAGTATAGTTTGGTTTGAGAGTACAACATTTTATGTGACGGGGTAAAATATCCCATATCTTATAGGTGAGCATTATAGTATAAAGGCATGCAAAGTAAAGGGTTGTGTGGTGGTGCAGCGATGTAGTGCTCGCTTCATGTGTAGTGCCAGCTAAATTGCTTCCTCGTAACGTACCAAAGGCTTACTAAAGTGTGCTATATCTACGTTGTCTCTATAGAGCTGTCAGGACCATGACATTCAATTTCACTTCCGACTGTGCTTTAAAACACAGCAGACGTTTACCGAAGAGGATCTTTTTTTTGTATTTATGGAAATTAATTAATGTATTTTTACCAAATCAGACTATAAATTGCGTAAGGTTACGTTAGTTTCTGCATGATCGCCCATATATATATATATGTATATATATATATATATATATATATATATATATATATATATATATATATATATATATATATATATATATATATATATATATATATATATATATATATATATATATATATATATATATATATATATATATATATATATATATATATATATATCAATTTTCAAAGTAAAAATAAGTATATACAGGTTATTGCTATTTCTCAATTATCCCTATTTAAATGGTGTTGAATGTGGCAACAAAAAAATATCCCAATTTGGCTAAAGGTCCTGTATGCGCGCGCGTGTTGGGGGTGAAGGAAAGATCATGGTATGTGGAGGAGGTGGAACAATGTTGTGATGGGATGTGAAAGAGCAATATGTAAGACAGAATATATATCACTTGAAGACATCTAATCATTCCTTTATACACCCCCTGAACCTTCCCTGTAATACTGTAGGGATATCGAAAGGTATTACCGGAGTAAGTTTTGGTGGTGGTGGTGGTGGTGCGAGGACTTCTCCACGTGTTAACGGTACTGATGGAATTGTTTATGGTATTGGTAGATCCGTGTCTGCCTATTGTGGTAGGTGCGGAGGTGTAAGTCCCACTGGCTCTTCTCATGATATCGGTACTGCTGGGACTGCTTTCGGCATTGGTGGAACTGTTACTGATACTGTTGGAACTGCTTCTGGTACTTCCGTTAACCATAGGGCTCTAAGAAAACGACAGAGGCAACAAAAAAGATTATTTGTGATCAGATCAAATGCAAACAAACAGACGTAAATTAACAGCTCAAAGGAAAATAAAACACATCGAATCACCCAAATGACTCCAAAGCCACAAACGTGCTTAGTGCTTACGCTCGAAAGCCTTAAGAGAAAGAGAGAACTAGTTAGCACCTCGAGATAAGCATCCTCCCATTCGCTGAGTTTAGATGGGAAACTATGGCTATCGAAATGTTTATTCGGGAAAAAAGAAAAGTGAAAGTAAAACACAAATGAAGAAAGAGAATAAAGTAGGAAAGATATGAGGTCACAGGAAATCGTGATAACTAAAGAGAAACTGCAAGAGATAGAAGAAAATAAAACAAATATAAAGGGAGTTATATCTCTCTCTCTCTCTCTCTCTCTCTCTCTCTCTCTCTCTCTCTCTTACCTGTATGTTAGGCGCAGAGAGTAACACCAACGACAAGACGAGAATGATCTTTGGAGCCCCTGACCACCCACGTCTCGCCCGGAAACACACACCACTGCGCGCTCCACAGTACTTCATGTCTTCTCGCTCACTTTAATCCACAACCTAAAATTATACACATTCAAGTTAATATAGAATCAGAACCACTATTCAGATTTAGATACGCCTTACAAGACTATCATTATACAAGTACAAATGAAAATATACAATAACCTGACGGCACGGGATGGCTTTGTTGGCTATGAGTGGTGGAAACAACTCTTTGTATAACATTGTATGCCCGCACTGTCCATGTAAACTATATACAGTACATTGCGTACATACAAGCATTTTATATGTATATTGTACACTTCCACTGCTTATAAGTATGCTGAACCAATTTAATCCTATGCTGTCTGGCAATTTTACTAAATATCTATAGCAGGGGTTCTCAACCAGGGGGGGAATTCCCCCCAGGGGGGAATTCAGGTTTTCAGGGAACTGATTCGGGAGCAAGAGATATGTTCGATGAGAAATCAATCACAGAATTTTGGCCCTTGATGTGCGATTCCTACCCAAAAGTGGCAGAAAGAGCTATCCGTGCATTGCTTCCGTTTGTGTCGACATATCTTTGTGAGTCAGGCTTTTCAACTCTGTTGCAAATTAAAACGAAGCAACGTAGTAGATTAGAGGTAGAAAATGACCTGCGTTGTGCCCTTTCAAGCACTCCTCCGCGTATCCCAGAATTGGCGAAGAAAAAACAATCACAGGTTTCTCATTGACTGTAATCTTCATCCGAATAAAATTAATTACAAATTTACAATATCCTGGTATTCTATTGAACTTTTTGTTTATTGCATTATGCTTCAGTTTGGTCTGTTAAGTAATTCATTATAAATATAAAAAAACTATTTTACTTTTATTCAAGTTTTATAAATCCATCAACATTTTCAATTGGCATTTAATTTGTAAAACTCCACTATAAAAATAATCCATGTAAAATTGTAAATGTATATGTACTAATATGGAAAAAAATAAAGGATTTTCAGTATTATATGCATATTATTTGGAATGCACTTTTTGAGGCAGACAATCTTGGAAAGGAGGGGGAATGACATTCTGACATATGGTGAAAGGGGTGCATGGGGCAAACAAGGTTCAGAATCACTGATCTATAGAAACATACATACATACATACATACATACACTACTACTTTGCTGTCACTCGGAATCGAGTATGACGATCATCCAGCTATGATACAATGATATGAGTTATTAAGGATGTCACCTTCCTTGGTGAGTTTTGAGGTGACTAAAGAGGTCGATACGGGACCGGCAGGGTCGATCACAGAAGTTGCATATGTGGGGGGATACATCTAGTGCGGAAAGGGAGGTGGCAGCGTCTTACCGGCATTGCCGCTTGTCTGCCTCGTTATGCAGTCGGGCGAACTCGAAAGTATTAACAACTTCTTGTATGGTGCTCCTCCAAGCGTTACGGTGTGAAGTAATCGTCTTCCAGGTGAAGGGGTCGATTTGGGAATTTTTCAGGTGTGTCTTAAGACTATCCTTATACCTCTTCAGTTGCCCGCCAGCAATACGTTTACTATTCGTTTGGAGACTGTAAAGTAGCTGCTATGGCAGTCTACTGTCGTCCATGCGGGTAACATAGCCAGTCCAGCGTAGTTGTTCATGAATAATGGTAACCTCGATGCTCCTACAGTTGGTGTCAGCAAGAATACTGACATTTGTTCTCTTGTCTTCCCAGCGAACAAGGAGGATGGAACGTAGACTACGTTGGTGAAAATTTTCTAGTGCCTTGATGTGCCTCCTATATGTGACCCATGTATTACTGCCATATTGCAGGGTGGGGAGGACCACTACTCGATATAAGTATAACTTTGTAGATAATTTCAGCTCCCTACAGCTGAAGACACGGTTTCGGAGTCTGCCAAAGGCTTGGGATGCACATCTGATCCGATGCTGAATCCTTCATCAATGTTCGCGGTGGTGGACAGGTGGGAGCCGAGATACCGAAAGTGGTAACATTAGAGAGGGTAGTATCGTTAAGTTGGATGGATGGTGGAGGTGTAATTGAACCAGGGGCAGGCTGAAAGAGAATCTGAGTCTTACGTAAATTCACCTCAAGGAAGAAGTGTGCATACGCATCTGCGTAGGTGTTCAGGATCTCCTGTAGGTCGCGTTCAGTGTGAGCGACATACTGAAGTTCAGTAATGGAAGCTGTTGACACCTTTGTTCTTGCCTGGAGTCGTCTTATGTTGAAAAGACCCTTCCTCTGGTACAGGATGTCAACCCCGCCGGATAAATTTGCGCGGGCACGAGTAAGGAAGGCAGCCAAAAAAATGGAAAAGAGAGTTGATGCCAGTGCGCACCCTTGTTTAACCCCCATTTGGATGGGTAAGAACTCAGACTGGGTGCCTTTGTGCAGGACATTGCCGTTCATGCCATTGTGGAGTTGCCTCACAATGGCGATGATTTTTGGTGGGCAGCCAAAACGGCTGAGCGTCCACCAGAGGGCTTCCCTGTTGACCAAGTAAAAAGCATTGGTTAGGTCGATGAAAGCCATGTACAGGTCACGACGCTGTTCTCTGCATAAAGGAATTAGGATGCTGGGCAGCGCGTGGTGAAGTAAATCATGCAACTGCATGGTGAAAAGAAACCTGGGGCAATTTTGGATTATAACATCAACATGCATGTTGTGGCCAGTCAAATATGTAAATTGCTACAGCATATTATTTTGTCATCTTGTTCATGTAACTGTGTGTATTTTTTTTTCTGTGCAAATTGAAAACTAGCAAAAATCCTGCTGCCATCTTAAACTTCGTGCAGCAACTGTGGTCCAGGAGAGTCCAGAGAGGCGTGTTGGTCGCCATTACATGTAGTTGTTGCCACCTACAGCAAGCAAGAAAAAAACACAGAAAGCTTTTATTTTTTACCAACATACACATTATCAACGCCTGTGTATGTTGACAATGAACTGAAGTTCTCGGACCATTGTGAGAAGAAGGTGAATCAGGCGAGGTGCTTCCCCGCCTGGAGTACTGTCAACCCGTTTGGTCCCCGAGATATGCGAGGGACTGTTATTTGATTGAAAATGTTCAATGGACAAGGGGTGACCTAATTGAGGTGAATAAACATCTCAAAGGGCACTACTCGGTCGAGTGTACATACCTGGAGCTGGCAAACGCACGCCCCGCAAGGGGTCACAACTCACGGTTTAAGAAGCCACAAGTCCAGGAAACTGTGAGGGCGAACTTTTTCGGAGTGAGAATTGTGAACTCGTGGAACAACCTGCCAGAAAGTGTTGTGATGGCACCGAGTGTGAGCTTTTTCAAGACCAGACTTGACCAACACTGGAGCAGGTTCATATACATTCAGGAACCAGTGAATGCCCTGTACTTGCCAACAGTGCGTAACAAAGACGAGACCGACCGGCCAAGCTGCTAACGAGCCGATCGGTGGCGGAAAGGATAAAAGTAAAAGTAAAAAAGCAGTGTAAAACTAAGCTTTTGTCTTGGCCTGTGTTTTGAGGACAACCATGAACTATAAAAGCTTTTATCGCGGTGTATAAAGGCTGTTGTGATTGTAAATATTGTAAAAATAGTATATAGTGTTAGAAACTAAAAGTATGTATCAGTGTAAGTAAGTGTTAAGTTTATGGTGCAGAGGATGTTTCTATTGTTATCTGCTGCCCCTTTCTGCCTTCGAACCGTTACATGCACCAGTAAAATAAGTAATATTTTTGTTTGTTTTTTGCTTTTTTCCCTATTAATGTATTAATCAATAAATTTTGTATCCCCTTTTCATTATGTCTCTACATGTCTTTCATTTCTTGTTGATCCACAGTGATGACGTGAAGATATATACTGATTTAAACTCACAAGAAAAAGATAAGACATACCCTTAGCTTTCGTCTTTGTTCAAGACTTCTTCAAAGGCAAGTCAATTTAAAATTTTACAGTAACTACCAGAGCAGCTTATATAAAAAGTTTATGACTAAAGTAACGTTAATCCCGTTCTTGTACGACCACTGTGTGTGTGTGTGTGTGTGTGTGTGTGTGTGTGTGTGTGTGTGTGTGTGTGAACACACAAATTGTAGTCAGATACTGTTATTTATTGCATAAAATGTATTTTTACATCGTATAACACAACTTCGGAAGATCGAATATATATTTTGTTAAATTTTTTTTCCACTTTCTACTCTTTCTTCGCTCTGGGATACACAACTATCTACCCGGGAGTCCGATCAATAGAGTTAAGTATGATACAGTATAGTGGAGCACAGGTGATGTCTCTCTTGTGGACACATTAAGGTGTCTGGGCGATGAATAACTTGCCATCCAACCCACACGGTGAGCGACTGAAATATACAAGGTGTCAAGGAGAAGGTGAAGTGTTAATTTAAAGAGTTTGAAAACGACGTTACAGTGATCCCCTTCGCTTACTGTTCGTGTTCAGGCGGAGGTGACGTGTACGTCTCGCCCCTCGCCCAGTTGCTCTTTTAGCTCCTCAACGTCATTTGGAGTGTTTCAGTTACTTGACTTTAGTCGAGCATTTTTTCTATTCTTTTCCCTGGTTGCGTTTATTTACTGCCAAATGGTCTTCCTTCTAAATAATTTAGTTACTACCGAGTGAAAGACTACAAGGGTGTTTTATACTATCGCCTCTCCCTCCAGTGACATATGACACGCGTTGACTACAATTTAAAAGGTCTTCAAGTTCAGTGATCAGAGACCACAAAGTAGACAAGTGGGGAAGAGTGACAGCAACAGCTCTTTCAACATCACGTCTTGTAGAATTACAGTCTGCGAGTCCACATTAATGACTGAGAGGAAACTGGACACATCACTGAGTACTTCACCCTTGTACTCAACAGTTCAATACCATTTTGAGTTTATGCAGTGCTTTTAAACGACTTTGGTCATACAGTCGATACTTATTATGTACTTGCAAATTGGTTATTACTATTATTCCAAACAGCAAGCAAATGATGACTAATCCTCAATCTCTACTTTTCAAGGATTACCCAAGCGTACTGACCAGCTAAGTGTACGGGGTCCACGTGTAGGGGTCCACGATATTATTGTAAACTTTACACCGCCATTTGTTGTCTAG